ACAACCATCTTCCTGATCCACAATGAATAACTGGATGCTATTCTAGCTGCCCAGACACACTCGCTCAATCGTTGGTCTACGTGGTTCTACCCAACTGGATCAGTGCCCCTGCTCCCACGGTGCTTATCTGCCTCCATGCTCATACAGTTTAGGAGATAACCCAGCAGGAGAATATTTCTTTACTTGTAAGATACGAGTGACCCTATCATAAGAAGATGCTGACAGTTGTGTTTAGTAAGTAGAAAACTAAGATATTTTCTCAGGAGTGGCTCATTGGTACTGCACAGAGTTCCCAGGCAAGCATAAGAGCAAGTGATAATATCCTCCGTCTGCAGTGACTACAGTTATTGTAAAGAGGAGGTTTTACTCTGTATTTTAATATATTATATCCCCTTCTTGTGTACAGTATGCTAAGTACGTACACTTACACGCTAAGTAACTGTCTCATCCTTACTTTTTTTCAGATACCTATGCTCTTAAATATTACTTTCCAGATCAGGAAACCTTACATCTCCACATTTAATAAAGTCCTTCTTAAGTTGACATAGTATAAGTACTGTGCATTTCACCCATATAAAGAGACATGCCTTTGCTTGTCTTCCTATTTTAATTACTCTTGCCCCCAAAACAGTTCCTAGTCTATATCCCACCTACCAAATAAATAAATAAACACAGGAGAACTTAACAATATTCTTAAATATATTTACAATGCCCAAAACAAATTTAGTAAGTGTTACACAAGCACATTTGAATAGAGAATAGTTTAGACATTGAATTCAGCCCTTTCATTTATTCATGCTAACAGTCACACAGTGCTTCTCTGATGATCAAAGTAATAATACGGAAAGTAAGTGACAGACATCTCTTCATTCTCTGTTCTTTTGTTTCCACTCTAGGTTTTAAGAAACAAAGATTTCCAATGGCAAAACCTGCTTGAATACTGCAACAAGAGAAGATGGGAACAAGAGAGAGGCACAAAGCCTGATCCACTATGGTAGGTAACAGTGTTCAGGACATCACACAGACATTGCCTCAGTGGATTTACATGGTGATGACATTCATTCCACTTTTCTTTGCCATTTTTGAAACAAATCTGTCCTTCTGCCTACTCAGTTTAAGTAAGATTGCAAAGACACAGATTTTCGAAATGGTTTCACTACTGATGAAACATTTGGGTAAATATTCATATGTTACAGGTGCTAAAATGACTGAATGCTGCAGAGTAATCCTTTTGCCATCACAACTTTCTTACTGATACGCATCAGTTTTATGTTAAGTTTCAGTATCAAATTCAGTAGCTATTTGCTTTCTCTCTTCCTCTCCCATAGAGTTCTAACAATTTAGAAACCTGGAATTTGGAAACAAATAACTTCTGCACTGCCCAGCTGGCACTTTGAATCCTCTAAATTCTTAATCAGAAGGTCACGCTGAAACCATTTAATTGTATCATATGGACTGCTGAATCATGAAAAGCATACATAAAATATCATCAGGAATATAAAAACTTCATGCAAATAACTTCCATAATAATATGTATTTTTTTAATATCTAAGTTCAGTTCCGAAGAAGCCTTCTTTAACCTGTTTTAAATCACATTGCTTAGTTCACTTTTAATATAGGAGTTTCTTCATTCACTCTTGTCTTTTCAAGTCTGCCCATTCTAACACCTACTCAGTAAGTTAACATCCAGCATTGGAGAAGAATCCTCCAAGGATGTATTCTGAGAGCAGTTAGGTTTCATAACAAGGTTTCTAAGTTTTATACCCATCGACCTGCACCAGTCAAACAGCAGAAACACTGGTGGTCTCATGAAGAAGCTCAGTTTTAGAAGTAGATTCTCACAATTTAAACAAATATCCACTGCCTATTTCTGAATGGAAGTCCAGCAAGTTTTTCCTACTGATACCAAATTAAACAGGAGACTTGTCAGTGGTAAATGCAAAATTTGGCTCTTGTGCCTAGCTGCAAGTTAGATGGGATTTGCTTTACAGAGCTCTTTGAAGCAGTACTTTTTCTTCCAGGAGTTTCTGGGGGGTTTTCCCTTCAGTTGCTGTTACCTCTACACCTCAGGTAAGGCCCAAAGGGTTATTTTTTCTGCTCTTTACACCTAATGTTAACCATCATAGTAAATAATGATAATGACTATACTCCTAGCTGAGGGCACATACGCAAACTCAAGCTGCCATGGAAGGAAAAGGTACAAGATAGCAGCTAATGCACAGTACCTCTTCTTAGCCTATGACAAATGCAAGGCAAAACAGGCAGGTAAAACTAATTCATTCTCGCCTGCCACACACGAAGTGCATGTATATGAAGTGTGACCAGCTGGCAGGTGAGCTCCACTATTTACTTGTTCCAGTATTCAGCCCACAGAAGCAGTTTCTTTTCTCTCCTCTGTCCAATCAGCATAAGCAGAATGACAAAACATCCAAGTGGACAAACCCCTGAAATCCCAGAAAGTATGTATTCCTCATCTCTCTATTTACAGTATTGAAAGTTTTATCCACAGCGCAGGACTAAAAACTGGGAGCAAGAACACAAGCTTCCATGCTACCTTAGTTATCTTGCAACTTTAGCGGTTTCGACATCAACTTATTAAGAGAGATTTTTCCAAACTGATATAAACATCTAAAATACTTTTTGTTCTTGAAGAAATTTACAATTGAGACATTAAACTCTCCCTGGAATAGCAGAATACTCTAAGATCTTCCTGTAGTAAGATCTGCAGAATAAACTGTGACACAAAGATACATCTTCAAACAGAAGACTCAGTCAAGGTCTGTATGGAAAACTTACATTAGCTCAGTACTATCAGCCAGGCATATCTTTGTCAGACTTCTTTACAAGCACATAATCTTCAGTACTGACAATTGTGATGGTATAAAAAACTTAAAGAAGGATTTTGTTTGGAGGAGAATTATATGCTCTCTTTTCGCTGCTCACATTTTAGCTTGCTTTGGTAAAGGTACAGTTGCACTAACAACCATTTTCCAGACTACACTATATACCACATTTTAAAGCAAAACATAGTTCCCATACAGTCTTTTTTAATGGCAGTGTCTTAAATATAACTTGGGTACGTGAGAGATTATGGTTTTAAAAAAAGCAGATAAGATATTTCATATGAACCTAAAGCCCTCAATCTTCACTAAACTCAAGTTGAACAAATAAAAGACATGCATATAAAAACTCAACGGTGAGTTTGCATCACTTCAGTTTGAAATTAAAAAAAGCCATTTTAATTGCTTTTCTGAGTAATGAAATCTAGGTAAACTAGATACTTTACTTTGCTGGTTTGCTTTTGTGGTAAGGTTTTATATTGTTTTGCAAGGAATGAGACAGCATTTCACTGATCTGTGTTCCACCTTTTAATCACTTTTAAATAGAGAGAAGAGCCAGTGGGGCACTGGTTCTGAATTTTACAATTGCCCAAAAGAACAGTAACAGATAGGGCTCAGTTTATTATTTAAAAGAAAAGCTATACAACAATGTATCAGAAGTGTACGCATAAGTGAATAACAGAATACCTTAAAACACACTGAACAAAAAAGCTGGCATGTCACAGCTCTGCTTCCATGTTTAAACTAGCAGAAAAACAAATCTAAATATTTAATTTTTCAATTAGAGCAATTCTTTCCCAAAAGAGCAGTTAACGGTACTAATGGAGACCTCTGGCAATGCATTTATACCCTTTGCTCTACACAACAGCACCAACAGCTACCTTCACACATTGCCACTCACACAAAACACCAACTGTATGAATGTTTTCAGTTTTGTTTGGTTTTTACTCCCTCCACCCGAGACTATGAAAAGGGAACTATGTCCAAAAAAAGCTCTAAGACCATTTTTTTCTTGCCATCTAAGCCAATCTCTAGCATGTAATTTAGCCTGTCAAAGAGCATGCTTATTACAGAACTTACAGCTTATTACATTATACCTGAATGGCATAAAACCTGCTCATTTGAATGGTCAAGTAGTGTGAGGCAATATTTTAAGCAACTTCAACAACATACAGGTGAGAAATAGAGAAGAAAAGAATTACAGGCAAAATTCTTAAGATATCGGGAAAAGCTCCAAGCTACAGTTCTATTTCTTGTACTTTTCCCGCACTATCTTATTAAACTCCCAATGTCATGACATACTGTTATACACACACATTAAAGAAGTGACAACACAAATAGATAATTTCTGATTCGTGTAAGTTAAAAAATGTGTTGGTCACATACAAACAGGCCTATAAGGCGTCCTCTACAAATCCACGCAGTAGATGTATTTGTAAGAGAGGAAACTAAAGTTCTAATTACGCACATAAAGACATTTTACTATAAAAAAGGAACTTGACTTGCACCATTTTCTCCATGTAAAGATGAAAATAAACTAAAGGAATTTATTACTATCTGCAACACCGTAGAGGCGGAAATTCAACATGCAATATCGGCAACAGCTAACGAAAAAGTAATGTATAATGTTAAACTATGGGCAGAAATTGCGCTAGACTGTGTTTGCAGTGAAACAGGAGCAGACTTTACACCCCAGCTTTAAAGAAGTGTTTCCTAGTGTGTGCATTCACCAGAGCAAGCACAACACTGAACTGTGCCTCATATACACCCGAGAGATACTTTCCATGCACAACGACACCAGCCTGGCAGGCGGCCCCTTCCTGCAGGTGCCGGCGGTCATTCCGGGGGCGCCGGGGAAGCCCCGTCCCCGCTCCGCAGGGCTGTGCGGGCAGCGCCGCCACACGCGGCCCGGCCCGGCCCGGCCCGGCCCCCCCGCGGCTCCCGGTGGGGAGGAGGGGGCCGCGCTCCGCCGGCCCCGGCGGGCCCCGGGCGCGCTCCCGCGAGCGCGCTGCCGGCGGTGACGCGGCGCTCCCGGCCCGGCCGCGCCGCCGCCGCCGCCCTCGCCGGGCGTCCCCCCCGCACCCCTCTCCGCCCGCCGCGCACGCGCCGCCGCCCGCACGTGCGCCCCCAGGTGCGCGGGGCGCCCCCGCACCCCCCCGCACCTCTCCCCGCCCAATTCCCCGCGTCTGGCGGGGCCCGGTGGCCGCTCCGGGCCGGGAGGGTGGGGGGGGGGCAGCGGCTCCGCACCCGTCGGTACCGCGGGGCGCATCCGGCGGGCAGGGCGGGGAAGGGGCCTGTCCCTTTAAGAAGAGGCCCGGCTGCTGCGGCCGCCGGTCGGCGCGGGGGATGAAGCCGCGGCCTGCCCGCCTGGAGCTTCCATCGTCGTCCGCAGTAGCCCCGGCTCCGCGTGTCCTTGCGCGGTCGCCGCGGTGGCTCACCTGAGTAGCGGGCCCGGCGGCGGGGCGGCGGCGGCGGTGGCAGGGGGCTGGGGGTGTCTCCCGGGCTCGCTCCCCCGCTTGCTCCACCCGGCCTCTCGCCCCGCGTTGCCGGGGCTGGCGTTGCCTGTCTCCTGCCGCGGAGCGCTCCCGGCTCCTGCCTCGCCAAGATGGCGCCCGCGCTGGTGCTGAGGAGGAGGCGGCGGCTGCGGGCGCTGGGACGGCGGCGGCGGCCACTTTCGCTCACTGAGAGGAGAGGAGCAGGGACACGGGGAGCCATGGCGGGGGGGAGGAGAGGCGCCATGCCCAGACCTGATCAATCGAACCCCGTATGTCTCCCCGGCGCCCTGGCCCCGCACCCTGGCCCCGCCGCCCCGCCCCCGTCGCCGCGGCCGCCGTACGGACCCGGGCCCGCACCGCGGGGCTCGGGCCCGCACGGACCCCGCGGGGGGCGCGCGCTCATCGATGCGCTCCCGCGGCCGATTGGTAGGGTCTGGAGGTGACGGAAATTGCCGAAGGGACTCGGCCGAGGCGGCGGGTGAGCCAGCGAGTCTCGCGCGAGGCGGGGCGGGGTCTCGCGATGCTGGCGCGAGGAGGCGGGTGCGTCCCGGAAGTGACGCGCTGTCGCCCTTGAGGCGCCGCGGGGCGGGTGCGGCGCTGCTCGGACCCCCGGGCCAGTCCGGGGTCGGGCAGGGAGGGGGGTCATGCGTGTCCCCCGAGGCTGCCCCTTCCAACCACGCAGCAGGCGGCCTGCGCCGGCCCGGCCCCCGCGGCCGACGGGAGCGGTGCGGGGCTGACGGCGCTGGAACCGGGGCGCCGTCACGGTTATAACACGTGGGGCTACGTGCGTTCCACCGCCTTCGCTTTGTCATGCACGAAGAGTTGCATCAGAGGAGCCCAGGACGAAATAGGCCCGAAGGTTAATTGCGAAGAGGCTTTGCAGTGAAAACACGCTGTGGCCATCGGCTGTTCGGCACCGCTGCTTCCCCAAACCACTAAATAGTATATTTACCGCAAATCCTTAAAAGCGTGATTAATCCAGACCACTTAGTGCATGGAGATAAAAATTGTGTTCATGACTAAGCTGTGTCACTCCATCTCTCTGTAGGCATCACCGCGTCTTGGTTTTGGCTGGGAGGGAGTTAATTTCTCAGTAGCTGATGCAGTGCTGAGTTTTGGATTCAGAATTAAAATAATGTTGTTACCACAGTGATGTTTTGGGGTTTGCTAAGTTGCATTTATGCCAAGTCAAGGACAGTTTTGTTGGTTTGGGATTTTTGGCACAGTGAGGAAGTGCACAAAAGAGAAACTGTGAGGAAGCATGGCCAGGACAACTGACCCCAACTGGCCAAAGGGATATTCCTTACCATAAAATGTCATGCCCAGTGTATAAACTGAGGAGCGTTACCTGGAAGGGGGGCCAATCTGCGTTTGAGAAGGGCAGTCTGGCATCTGTCAGTAAGTGGTGAGCAATTGTATTGTATGTCACTTGTTTTTCTTTCCCTTTCTATTATCGTTCTTACTATGTTTTACTTCGGTCTCAATTATTAAACTGTTCTTATCTGAACCTAGAAGTTTTACTTTCAGTTCTCCTCCCCATTCCACTGGGGGAGGGAGGTTGAGGGAGTGCCTCTGTGGTGTTTAGTTGCCAGCTGGGCTTAAACCATAACACACAGTTACTAGGCAATAAAAATAAGACCATCACTACTGCCCCAGTAAAACTTCACTAGAGTTGTCCTGAACTAGTGGTGGTACTTGTATCCCTAACTGCAGCTGGGAACTGGCGGTGTTCGGGAAGCGTGCACGGTTTGGTTACTTTTACCAAGCTTAGACAGAGCAGCATGACAAGGGCTTGTGGACCATCAAAAAACCCCCTTTTTTTTTTCTCCTTTAAGAAAATTATAATTTTCAATCTTGTGCATCAATGAGTGATTACTCCATTCCAATCTTACTACTTCTCTTTATGCTGGTCCCAAAAGAGAACCAAAGGAAAAGCTGCAACCATGTTTATCCAGGAATTTGCTACTTAAATCAGTAGAGTGGCACAGATGCAATTAGACTGTCAAGTCCCTCCCTGGAAATCCTTATTCCATAATACAATTCGAGCCAGGGATTTACTTCCTGGAAGAGGCTGAGAATGCAGCTCAGTGTCTTACCGAGAAGGGTGGCCTCAGCAATTAGTTTGTATCCTGTACAGAGACACTCCAGACCACTCTTCTGCATCCCAGACTTGATGCTTTCACATTCCAGCCATTCTTCCCTCCCTCCTTCCGTTAACTTATGTGTTCCCATTTTTTCTCTCTCTGTTAATAGGACTGGGTGGACCCAGATGATTTTGGTTGTGGAAATAAAACATAATTGCTCTTTTGGCACAGAAAAGCCGGAATGCTCCACATGGTACCTCACTGACCTGTGATATCCCATCACTGCTTGAAAGAATCTTGCTTCAAATAAATAAAAAAAAGAGCAAACCTTGGCAATTTTTCTGTTACTCTCAGAAGTGAGCAAGTCCTATCTATAGTTTCAAAGAAGAGACCTATTTAAATACTGCTGGTCTAGTGCTCTATGGAGAGAAGAAAAAAACCCCAGACATTTCCCCAAATAATATTGAAAAGAAATGCAGACAGATATCATAAGCACGGTCACACCAATTTACATCCAAAGAAAACCAGCTCAAATGGGTATTGACATGTACTCACATGCAGACATCATGTCCTTTCCAACCTGGCATCATTACTATTCCCACATTTACAGCTTGATGACCAGGTTGTTCTTGGACTGCAGTCTGGTTGGCACAGTGACTTCTTCCATTCTTCTCTATTCCATGTTGTTCACCAGTGTTCACCGATACACCAATCAAAGTGTTCCAAGATTTGGACATGGCCCACATTAATTTTGTCGTGTGGTAAATAGTAGTTTTGCCTTAATACCTTATTTTGCTTGGGAAGGGACTGCTATACACCTTTTAAATCAATTTAGGTGCTTCTGCCCCCCTGTTCATACACCCCTGTCTATGGACACACAGCACGTGTGTGTTACAGTCTTATCTACCTGAGTTGGATGCGGCAGCGCTGACAGACAGTGGTGGTAGTGGGGTGCAACTTCCAGCAGGCCATTCTAATGAGAGTTTTACATAACTGCAACAAGTAACAAAAGAACCAATACTATTTAAGACATTGGTAACAATGCCAGAAAAACAAAAGTCACTGTTTTAAAATCAAAAAGAGCTCTTGGAAAAAATGGATCTCAAAAAAAGACCTAGAGAAGAACAGTCAGAGGCAGCAGGAATTTCCTCTGAAAGACCATTACTATTTCCATTCACCAATGGCTTTACCCCTTATTGTAAAGCAAGGAGCTTTTGTTTGACACCTCTGCACGGGGAATAGCCCGTTTTTTCACTCGGATGTCTCCAAACACCCAGAATAAGCTCATCAAGTCGCCTGTGTCAGAAACTACATTCCGTACAGTCGGCTTGAGGTCAGTTTAAGGTCCTTCCACAGATTTACCACATGACTTTGATTTTCAAGCTCTTCTTTGACAAAATACATCATAATTGTTGAAGAACATGATTTGAGACCCTGCTTTATTTGTGGGAAATCAATTCCAATTATGTCTGTAGTTTCCATCCTTCTGTGGATTTTTTTCTCTCTACTAGATTCCATGGCTGGTCTCACCAAAAGACCATCCTCATTCATCCTGTAGTCTTTTATTGCTTTCTCCCTCTTCAGCTTCTGGATGTCTGCCAGCTGACACAGCTCCTCTGGCAGCTCTGTAAAAGTGGGCTAATAAGGAAAAAGGAAAAGAAACAGAAAAAAACCCGAACTAATACATACTATACTTTTGTTAGAACCAGGGAAGCATTCCCCCTGTAATTAGCCAATGGAACACAACAATCATCTCATTAGATCTGTGGAATTTATCGACTACCTGTTTACACAAACAGGAGACCTTAAGGGAAAAAAAAGTTGCATGTCCCCCACACTTTCTTTGAAAGGCAACCCAAAGGAAAAAACACTAGGCTTCCATTTATTGTTTACTTCTTTATTATGAAGATCTTCAAGATTTTAAGTAATACTTCACATATGGGTTTTTAGATTTCTCCTGAGAAGCATTTTGCACTATGAAGTTGTGAATCCCAAAAGAAGCATAAGCAGTTCATGTTTGCTTGCAGGAACCACTGCAAAGACAGCTGTCCCAGCTTTTTATTTAAAACCATGATATTCTATTCTATTGGTAAAAAAACCCAACACTTATGTGGACAAAAGCCAACATAGTTAACAAATCGATGAAACAGCTTAGGAAGTATGTGAAGAGACATACACTCCTTGATTTGGCCCTGAGCAGTGCACTGTTCAAAATACTAAATCCAAGGAGCTGTTCCTTAACAAGGACTGCCATGTTCATGGTTTGTAGAAACAATAAGAAAATCCACAGTTGTGTTCTGCTGTAGAAAGGGGAATTACATAAATAAGGAAGCTTGATAAAAAGTAGTAAGAGGCAGCCAGGCAAATTCAATCCTAGCAGGTAATATGAGACAACTTCAAGACAACATACAAGCAGCATAGAGTAAACATTACCTAACACAGCAAAAGGGCACAGAAACAGTGAAAGGAAACTGGCAGGACTACAGGTTAGAGGAACAGACTATGAAGTAAGCATCCCATCAGGAAAGCAATGCCACATCCATGTAAAGAAAATAGTAAGGATGAAGTTACAGAAAAAAACAAAGGGCAGGACAGACTATGTTTGATAATATTTTAAAAAATATAACAACTAATAAAAAGATATCTGTAAACATGAGAAGAGCACAAAATGTCAACCAAGTGATGATCAGAATGCAAAAGCAGCACTGTAAAAAACACTTTTTTGTCTTCATTCAGCATGAAAATGGAGATTCCCATTCCAAACTATTCATTATGTACCCAGAATCAGTTTCAGATTGTCCATAAATGTTTAATACCGATACTTGAAAGACAAATGTCATGATGGATTTCACCTAAAATTCCTGAACAGTGGAAGATGAACTAGTAACTATAGTATCTTGCTTAAAACCTGCCTTGATACCCAGGGATGGAGCTTGGTAAATGTTTAAAGGTCTCAAGAAAGATAGAGGAAACAACACACCGGTAAGTCAGATGTCTGTATAAGCACATTGGTAGAAACACTAATAACAGATGAGTGGATATACAGATGTGATGCACTGGAAAAGAATTACCACAGTGTTTGCAAAGGGAAGCCATACCTTACAAACCTGTGTCTAAAAATTTGCACGGATCCAGAGGAAGGATAAATAATTTAGACAGGATTACAGAAAAAAGCAGAGGCAGTACTTACTTGAAAACACCCCACTGTCAGTTCAGTTTAACCAGAATAATGCACATCCATCTTCCTAACTGCTGCTGTACCCTACAGTGTGGGGTAATCCGTGCCCCAAGCCATTTCAAGCCAAGTTGCAGAAAATTCAGGCTGTATGTTCATAAAGATTAATATGCATTATGTGTAGTCCCAACTCACCTGCCAATTAAGAAAACCTCTGGTTCAGGAGCAATTATATTTAAACAACAGAGTTTATGCATGTCACATGTGATGATTGTGTTATCTTGTATAATCTACTGCACTGCATTTTGTCTACTGCAGCTTTACTGTAAGTGCATTGGTGAAATCAACTCTGCAGGGGTGTGCTCTGTGGTACTAGAGCCCTGAGCGTGAACTATCACCACTTAAACAAGATGGCTCTGCACTTCTAGAACATTTGCTTCTTTACACTGATGGGTTTGGTTCTTTAAGTCCTAAACATGAGAACATGCCTGCATTTCCAAGTACTTAACAACACAATATGAATCTACAAGGAGAGTTAGAACTGTAGCACATGTAGCTCCTTTACTAGCTCTTTTCTAGTGACAGAGTTGCAGAGGCACAGACACCCATTTTACTGGGTGTCTGCATCCACAAGAACTACTGCTGGCAGACGTTATGCCAAAAATGCAGGAAACTGCATGGACATTCAGGGTGAGAAGTTTGTGTTGGGTTCCTCCCCTCAGCAGCAAGGAGGATTATCAGTTTCTGAAAGACCCTGAAGAGGGAAGCTGAGGGTTTTGATAACAAAGTGCTGATGATCAGAGGTTACTGCTTTGCATCTGGTTTGTGGGTAAAACGTCAGTTGCTTATGAGGGTGTGTCCACTATGCAGAAGACCCAACTACCACTTGCAGGTGATGACACAAGAAACCACAGAAAGTGTCAACATACATTTCCAAAATTATCATGATGAATGAGATGCCTTTCTTTTTATTTCCTTGTTATTTTGTTTTCTCTATTTTCTTCTTCATTCTCTCCTACATCAAAAAGAGTGTTGCATTATTATTTGTGGCTGCTGTGGACCACTGGCAGTACTTTACCATTGTTAATAAATTAGACACATGCAATTATGCATAAGTCTGAAATCAAGCACTCCTGAATATGTTGAAGGCCACAAGGATGATCTGGCCCTAGTAGGAGCTGTGCATTTAGCCAGAAGGTGATTCTGGTATTTTGCCACTAATGGGGGCCTGTTAGAGGATACACAAACTTATCAGGGAGGAACAAGATATGCACGTGGAAAACTGACTACAGCAACTGGGCATACAGAGCCCAAGAAAGGGTGGTGACAATTACATTCATCAGCCTTATTCACATTTGTCTTTCTCCAGCTCTCAGTGGATGCAGTGATCCATAAGGGCAAGTGAACAGGATTGGCTTTTACTCCATGATTATGCATATTCACTTTTGCTTGCTGCTGTTTCCAAGAGGAGAAAAAAGAGAGTCTGGTCCTGATCTGCTTCCAGAGGTTGAATACCCTGATTAGACAAGAGAATGAGAGAGTAGGTAACTGCCCCAGTAGTCATTATTCAACATTATTGGTTGTTACTCAGCATTATTCGATTCACAGGCACCTCAGACTGGAAAGCTAAAGCATCTTTTTCTTCAAGTATATCCTGATACTGTTATTACACACAAAATCTGTTGGCATTATGAACTGGATATGGCAGTGAGCTGGGAAAGATAAGGTGGATGTTTCCATGCTAGTCAAAGCTGAAGTTCAGTGTTGTAAACCCTGATCCAGGAGCTGAGATTCAACATGTGACAGCTAGAGATAGGAAGAAGTGTGGCTCTGTAATCCATCCAGCTTCAGTATTTGATTTTTAATGAAGTCTCATGATTGAAACTGTATGTGTACTTGTTTTGTAAGTATAGTTTACATGAGAGTGTCATAAGTTTGGAGGAATGGGAGAAGTAAAATAAAAAAAGCATTCTTCTGTGTGACATGATGTCACTCAGTAAGACCAGAGGAAACAAGAGCAAGCCAGGGAAGCACAGCTCTGTTCATTGCTCCAGTCAGGTAGGACATACTCAAACATCTCTGTAGCCCAGAGGCACAACAGAAGACATATCTGCATAACTAACTTTACCTTTTTCAAAAGGCTGAAGACCTGGTGATTCTGCTCAGATAGCACAGTCCAGAAACTAGAAAAGAACAGAGAAGGGCCCAGGAGAGGCTTCCTTACCTGGAGTAGTGGAAGTTATTTTCCTGATCTGGTCATCTTCTCCAAGTGCCTATAAATCAAAGAAGCCATGGTAACTTGGAGACTCTCTTGCCTAGTGACTTTCGCTCCCACAACTTTCAAATAAGGGCTTGATGTATCACAGATGGTTCCTTTTCACTCAAGAGTGATGTCCCCCTTCTAATTTAGCAGCTGAAGTAGTGCAAGGTACCTTTATGGCCCTGGAGCATTTATTGTCTTCGGCTTTGCTGCAGTACTGCTTCAGCAACAGACGTCTCTCTTCCAGTTCTCCAGCATGGAGAGAGCATAGTAGATAACATACTTCAGGTTTCCAAGATTTTTCCCTGGCAGAGGTATCAGAATCCAAGGAGATCCATTATTTCTGCTGCAGTAGCATTGGAACTGCAACAGATCCCGTCTGGAGAACACAGTCATCAAGCACAGGGAGTCCAGTGTTGCTGTTGTTTGACACTGGCTCCAAGGTGAAGTCAAGCTCATTGCACCAGACTGCTGTTCACCAAGGGTCCAAGGTGGAGCACAAGTGTAAATTGTAACTGGTCATTGTAAAAAGTAAAATAGCCCACTGAAAGCATTTTCCAGGTAACTTTCAACTGTTGCTCCACAAAGTGTACAGAAGGCATAACATAGATTTTAGTCGTGCATAAACTTCTAAACAACCATGAAAAAGCACTACAATAAATGGGGGAGGGGTAAGTATTGTGACTATTACTTCATTCTGAAATCAGATCTGGATAAAGGCTTTTTGATTTAAGGAAGTAATACAGACTTCGCTGGAAAACCTAGAAGTTGCAGAAACTACAGGTTTGTGGTTTTTTCTTTCTTGCCTTAAAATGGATTTAGCTGAACTCATCAACTTGCAAAGGATTCCCTTAACTTTTTTACTTACTGAGTGAAGAAACAGAAGTAATAGACAAGATTTAACTATACCACACTCCATATTTTGCATTTAAATATGTATTGCAAGCAGATTTAAATAAAGCAGAAGAAACTTTTATTTGTGTGATCTTCTCACAAGATATAGAAACAACAGAAAATTATTAACAGTGAAATGATGATGAAAATTGCTACTTTTACTCCCTATACTAGAATTCTAAAGCAGTTGCTTCAGAAGGCAACAGCTTTAAAATGCATTAAGAAAGTATGATTACCGGATGTTATAATAAATAGATTTTCAAAATGGCATTTGAAATACTCAGGATCAAATTAATTCCTTGGCTAATCTTATGGAATAAATGGATTTACAAAGGTATTGTCTTCAACAACCTGAATACCACTTTAAAAATTCTGAAAACAAATAGCCCAATGCAAAACAGAATGTGTACTTTTCACTTTAATAGACTTTTCTTTTCCCTTGTGTCATGCCTACTTTTGCATGCATTGCACATTGGAAATTCACATGTCCAGCTCATTTTTTTTTCATGAACTATGAACAACCTTCTTTTTTTGGCAGCTTTCCTCTAAAAAGAAAAGGTTTTCAGATATGACCTCTTCGCTTATATCTGTGAAGCAACTATGATCTCTTGTGTTATCTAATCTCTAAATCCTCATTAATGGGATTTACTGCTCTGAGCTCTTAAGTAATTCCCAAAGGATCCAAGTCTGTGCTTCAGTGCTTTGTTAAACCAGGGGGGGAAAAACCCTGTTTCTTTCATGAAGATAGAACTTCATTCTCTTTCCCTAATAAATATTTCAAGACATTTACAACTGTAAGAATGAGGCACTAAGAGGATTTAATCATGTTAGTTCAGTCTCTGGGGTGAATGAGGATGTTTGACCATGCACTTTGCACCCAAATCTAATACCAACAATGTCTTACATAGCTACTGCAAGCCCTCATAAGATTATTTCATTGAGAAGACAGAGAAAGGCCACATCAATACCACTGCTTGTTTGCTTTGCATGGACCTGTTCTTTCCAATAGTGCAAGAAGCCAAGCTCCTTCACCAAAAATCTCATTTCCTGCACTTTCCACGTTGAAAATTAATAAATTTCAAAATTACAGAAGTGTCCACCATCCAGCTCCTCCAGGGTATCTGGGCATGCACTACTAATGGTTCTGTGTAACGAAAGATGAAAAATGCTACTTTTAAATAATACATGTGAAAATAAATTAGGAAGACCAAATAACTCAGTGATGCTTTTACAGAAATAAAAATCTTTGGTTCACAAATGTTACTCAGAAACACCCAGTGTGTGCAAAACAGCTCAGCAGTAAAGATGACAGATTAGGAGAAAAATAGAACAAGATGTGAGGACTAAACATTTTTTACCAAAACAAAGCAACCCCGTCAGCTCCAGGTACCAACACATCACATTTGCTCGTTACTCTTCATTTCCTCACGTGTACGTTGCCCCTATTGAGCCCAGCTGTTCTCAGGCTGTGAGGAGAGTGAACAGAAGGGGCAGGTGACCGTGCCCATGCTTTAACAGCTGCAACTCACCATCCACTAGGCTAACTAGAGGTGGATTCTGCTAATGAACTAATATGAAAGGGAGCTAGGTAGATACAGACACCATCACTTTTGCTGCTGCACACAGGAAACAAGGTATGTAGCACACAGGAGGGTGTACCACTGTGAAAAGGAAGCTGCTGTAGCTCGGTCCTCCAGCATTTATCCATTAGAGCCTTAGATCAAATCACTACCAGAGAAACAAGCAGAGACATACCTACATTTGTGCTCACAAGGTGATCTCCAGGACAGTCCAATAAGCATTAAAATAACCTACAGCTGATAGGTCAGACATCAAGTTATCCATTAGAGATGAGTGGACCAGCAGGAGGTACATAGCGTTCAGAACAAGTGCATTAAGCAGAGAAGCTGGGAAGAGTCTCAAGAACCATATGTCAGGATTCTCCTGTATATCACAATGCAAATGAAAACAGTTATTGTTATGGTTTAATTCCAGCCACCAGTAATATACCATGCAGCCACGTGCTCACTCCTCTCAACCCCCCTCACAGCAGGGAGGAGGATTGGAAAGAAAAGGTAAACCTTTTAAGTTGAGATAAAAATAGTTTAATAATTGAAACGAAATATAATAATAATGATGATAATAACAACAACAATAATAATATATGATAATGATAATAGTAATAGTAAGGAGAGGCTAAGAGAGGAATAAAACCCAAAAGAAACAAGTGATGCACAGTATCCCATCCCCAAGAAGCGATCGGCCCCCTTCCAGGTAACTCCTCCAGTTTAAATTCTGGGCATGACATTCTATGGTATGGAATATTGATTTGGCCAGTTTGGATCACCTGTCCTGGCCATGCTCCCTCACAGCTTTTTGTGCACCTCCTCACTGGCAGAGCACGGAAAACAGAAAAGTCCTTGGCTTAGGATAAGCACTACTCAGCAACTGCCAAAACATCGGTGTGTTCTCATACCAAATCCAAAAACCACAGCACTGTACCAGTTCCTAAGAAGAAAATGTACTCTCTCCCAGCCAAAACCAGGACAGTTATTAAAGTAGAAAAAATTTTAACAAAGCTTATCATCACATTCTTCTGCAGTTTACAACATACTTCCTGATGCTGATCTTTACTTTCAGTGCTACTGTATGCTTTCAGCTTCTGGGGCCATCTGTGTACAAACCTGTAGTGGTTAGAGAAGCAGAAGTTTGGAAGGAGAGCTTGCTTCCTTAAAAAAAAACAACCAACCAACCAACCAAAACACAAACCAAAAACCAACATACACCTATTCCAGCATTTAATGCTAGTTCTCTCCCATCTGTCTCTGAAACCAGGTTGGATTCCTAAGAACTGAGCTAAAAGACCTAAAGGGAAAAAAAAACCTCTTATGATCTTCAGCAATCACAACTGAAACTAGAAGAACAGTTAAACACCATGACTGTGGTACCCTGAGCAAAACTGTCAGTACAGAATGGTTTACACTGGTATACTTATTACATGAATATTACACAGTCATTTTCCACTTTTAGTCTTCAGAGCAATAGGATAATAAACTAAGGAAGACATGTCATTTGGCTTAGATTTGCCATACAGAATTCTCAAAATAGAAATTTTGAGAGACAATATTGAATTCTAAAACTTACATAAAGATAATGCTGTGTTCAAATTACAGGTTTCACTGAGTAGCTTTTATAGCAATATTAAATAGCATTTAATCCAGGCTTTTGAGAAAGATTTTAAGTCCATGAACAGGCAGTGCAAAACCACTCCTATTTACTGTGGAAGTTACAAGACTAGTATGAAGGGAGAAAAAGTACTCTTGTAGGAAAGAGATTGTTCCTCTTCAGTAAATAAATTCTGCCTCTCTACTGAGGTCTCCTTAAGCATCTAGTTCCCTTATTTAATAGCTTCTTTGGAAGTCTTCTGACCCCACCCCCACCCCAACCACTCTGGCCCCAAAAAAATTAAGGTCATGCAATTAAAAATCCCAGCAAAAGGACAGAAACAGAGAATCACTTCAGTTAGAAAAAACCTCAAAGATCATTGAGTCCAACTGTTAACCCAGCACTGCCTAGTCCACCACTAAACTGTGTCCTTAAGTGCCACATCCACACATCTTTTAAATACTTTTAGGGGTAGTGACACCACCACTTCCCTGGGCAGCTTATTCTAATGCCTGACCACCCTTTCAGTGATGAAACTTTTATAATATCCAATCTAAAACTCCCGTGGTACAACTAGAGGTTATTTCCTCTTGTCCTGTTGCTTGTTACTAGAGAAAAGAAGCTGACCCCCACCTGGTTACAATCTCCTTTCAGGTAGTTGTAGGGAATGTGCCTCCTTTTCTCCGGGCTAAACAACTCCAGCTTCCTCAGCCACTCCTCATGAGACTTTTTCTCCAGTCCCTTCACCAGCTTTGTTGCCCTTCTCTAGACACGCTCCAGCACCTCAATGTCCTTCTTGTGGGGGGCCCAAAACTGGACACAGTACTGGAGATGCAGCCTCACCAGTACGAGTACAGGGGGACAATCGCTGCCCTGGTCTTGCTGGTCACACTGGTTCTGGATTTTAGTAAGACTTTTGATACTGTCCCTCTGAGCATACTTCTGGATGAGTTGCCCAACTGTGGGATAAGCAGATTCACGGTGCTCTGGGTGAAGAACTGGCTGACAGACAGAGCTCAAAGGGTTCTAATGAATAGAGGATCCATCTGGCTGTCAACATGCACCAGTTGAGGAATACCAGTGGTATTCCTCACGATTCAATTTCAGAGCCAGTTCTGTTCAGTATATTTATCGCCAATCTAGATACAGGAGTTAAATGCACCATTAGCAAGTTTGCTGACAGTACCAAACTGCGAGGTGCTGTTGACTCTTGAGGGACAAGAGGCCTTGCAGAGGAATCTACACAGATTGGAGCATTGGACTACAATTAATGGGATGAAATTTTACAAGTTGAAATGCCAGATTATGTATCTAGGATGGCATAACATTGGACACAAGTATAAATTGGGAGAGTGGCTGGAGAGCAGCTCTGCGAATAGGGACCTGGTTGGCAGCAGGCTCAGTGTGAGTTGGCAGTGTGCCCTGGCACCTTGGGATGCATCAAACACGGCATCACCAGCCAGTCGGGGAGAGGGAGGTACTGAGCTCTTCTCCCTGCTATCCAGTGTCAGGATACATGGATATGGTTCAAAGCTGTACCAGGGGAGGTTTAGCCTGGACATTAGGAAGCATTTCTTTACTGAGAGGGTGGTCAAACATTGGAACAGGCTTCCTAAAGAGGCAGTCAATGCCCTAAGCTGCCAGTGCTTTAGAGGCATTTGGGCAATGACCTTAATACCAGGCTTTAACTTGTCAGCCCTGAACTGGTCAGGCAGTTGGACTAGATGCTCAGTGTAGGTCCCTTTCATATGAAATAGTCTATTTATCAGGATTATGTTCCCCAAATCTTAGGAGCTCTTGACCCATCAAGTTTTCCCTTGCTTGTCCCCATCTGAAAGATTAACAAAAATAAGGACAATAGAGAATAATGATTTGGCAAATGCTGCTGAACTACACTAGTATTTTTTCATTCTAATAGTGCTGGCAATAAAAGTTCTCTTTTTCCCTGCTTGACTCAGGATTCATTGTAACCAACTTGCTCTGTTGAAACTAGGTTTCAGAATTAGTCAAATATTCTATGATATCCAGAACATTTTTTTTACCCAAGTTGTATATATTCTCTATTGTACAAGCTTTGTGGTTCTTCAAAATCTCAATTTCAAATGAGCTATTAGGAAATACCAGCCCTGATGCCAACTAAGGCTTACACCTGTCTCACAAGTCATTGTTACAAAATGTCCTTATCTGCAGCAATTCAACCACTTTTTAGTGCCATGCTCTTAAAAAAAGCAAATTACCAGAAGCATCTCAAAATGGGCAAAGCACAGCTCACAACTGAGTCTTCAGAAGGTGCTTTACTGAATCACTCATTGAAGTCAACTGCTGCCTGCACTTCAGGATGGCATTCCATTTGGAAGGTATCTTCAAGGGCTGCATCAAACACTCCCGTAATGTGCAGACACGGTGTGGAGGAAAAGCACCTGTAGTCATTGAAAACTGCAGAGCATCAGCAGCCTGTGATGGAAAGGATCAATATGCCATGACCAACGACCATTAATCCAAGGCAAAGAATGTGGAGGTTCGACAGTGGAGATGCATATTAGAAGTATGCTACAAACCAAACAATTCAACATTTTGATTGCATACAGTTGCAGAGATAGTAATCTGACTCCTTAAAGCTGTTAAGTTACATAAAAGGGTCTACAGTTCCTTCTAGCTCAGCACTCTCAGTAACAGGAGAGAGTAAACATACACTGATGCTTTCCCAGGATACTTATGGTTTTGCCTTTTATCCAAACCCTAAAATAGTTATGCAACATAAAGAAAACATGATGAAAGAATATGTAAGTTGTCATAAACCTTTTGCCTAAAACCTGATTTTGCCAGTAAGACTCGTATTTGACAGCACATAGAGCAAGAAAGAGAGCAGGCAACAGCTTCCAGCAGCAACTGCATGTCATGGTGTTTGCTTGTTTCTAATCCTGGTTTCATCCTTTTTACCTGTTTGCAGTAAAAGTAGGAACAGCCCTGACAGCCCAATGGAAAAGGAATGCTTGGAAGAGAATCCACTCACCAGGGGAATGGAGAGGAAAAAATAAAAAACCTGCATCCACAGTCAAAACCTGAGACTGAGCTATCTGTCATTAGAACAACCTACCCTTCTGACTTCCTCCACTACTCAAAAGCCCAGATTCCCATTCAGATCCCCTGAAATCCTCACTGACTTCTCCCTTTTCTCCTTACTATCTCCTGAGGAACCTTAAGCCAACATTCTGTGCAGACATCTACAATCCCACTAACACCACCATGAGTTTACAGGTCAACCTGGTTTTACTGCAAGAGCCACTGTTTGAGCTTTCTGGCACATGCTGCCCATGTGCTACCTAGACCTGTCCACACAGTGCTTGGCAGCACCAGCTCAGCCCCTGCAGTAGCAAGCACAGAATTGTAATTGGCCTCTACTGGCCTCTTATAGGGAGGGTAAATTCCAAGATTAACCTCCCTCCCCCTCCATTCCTAACTTATCTGTAACCTCTTTGGTGGAAAAAAAAATCTATTCCTGTCCAATAGCAAAGAACCTGATATGACTTAATAATGCTAAAGCTGCCCCTGAGGCACCAGTCAAATAGATAACTGCTGCCTTCTTTAGGAGAAAAGCCATGTGTTTGCTAAGCCTACTAGAAGAAAGTGCTAAGCCAGTCCATTTACCGATTTTCTAAGGAAGAAGACTACAACCACCAGCTGAAAAATGGCAGGAAACATATGTGGAGAAAGGAACTGCAACAATTCAAAACAATAAGTTCATTGAAAAGAAAAAAAAAATTTGAGAAGATCCAGGTAGAGCTGACCTTCACTAGATTATAAGCATAAATCACTAGGTAGAGTGGAAGTTTCCACCACTTGTTACTGAACTGTCCTTTGTATTCTACTTCTGACCACTAAAACCTTCTCTAGCTTTTCATTCTCAGTGGCCAAATGCAGATGAAGAGGAACCTCAGCATAGACCTTCTCAAGCAGTCAGTTACTTTTACTCAGAATCACAACAAAGATGATGTTCAAATCTGTAGAAATACATTCTAGATAGAGAGTTTCTAGTAAAAAAAAAAATCTATGCTTTCCAAATAAGAAGAGAAAATACTTAAATATTTAAACAGAAATGAAAGCATCTTTGTGATCAGTATTAATAAAAACTTTAACCTGAATGAACAAGGTTATAGAATAAACTTTCCCTCAACGAAAGCAATGTTTTAGCTTTCACTGTGAAATCCTTTGTCCAAAGTCCAATGCATGCTAACGGATTTAAGGGCAGAAAACCCACAGCATGCTAAAAAGTAGTGCATATTCATCAGTCTGTGGAATCAGATAGCAACAGTGACTTCTTCACTTGTACATTTTATGGTTAAACCTTGCATGGACTTCTATCTTATGGAAAGTCTCAAGCTGTCAAATTTTCTTTATTTTTTTCAGCACAAACCTCTAGAAAAAACTGTGGTATTTCTTTTGGTAGCAAACAGATATGCAACCAATAACATTTTACACAACAGGCAAGGATTTCAGAGCGTGAGGATGCTCCAGCCTCCTGATGCAGCATAGAAGTGCCACAGAAGGCAATATTAGGTCTATAAGCACTGACAGCAGCCAGTTGCCTGCTCACTATGCAGCTTTTTAGGCTGCTATAGCCCAACAGGGACACATCCCCTGCCCCCAAGGAAGTCAAATGTGAAATAGTATCAAACTTCCACAAACTTTATCATTAAAAGTTACTTCAACAGGTGATGTTTAAGTACTATAAGAACATCAATGGGAAAGACAGTAAACCTCAGAATACTGCCATTCTCTATATTGGGTGTTAATTACATTAGTTTACTTATGGTAAGGAATAAACAACTGGCCAAACCCAGGGATAACATTTTTCAAATTATATAGGCAGGATCCCATGTAAACCAGAGTTCTAAACTCCATTGCTACCTTTTTTAAGCAGAATCTCACTTGTGCACACAGCCTGTTCCCATTTTAACAATACTGGGAAGCTGTCTCTAAGAAGTGCTTCAAAAAAGCGTCTGTGAGAATTTGCTCAGAAGTATCTCCCAGCTATTTGTTCCAGAAGTACAGAGTAGAAGATGAGATAATTCCACAATATCATGTACACTACAGGGTGGCCAAAATCAGACCACATCAGTAGCGTACCTACATTAGAAGAAGGATTCAGGCCAACAAATCAGAGTAATTGCACCTCTAAGCCTAGAGATCTATCAGTGCAAGGAAAGCATGTGTGTCAGCTCATACCAAGACAACAAAACAATGAGTGCAATTCTGTGTACCTTGGACCCTAGGGTGCATAGTTCTGGTTAATTATTTCCACTGTATCAGTCACATGTTCTAGACAGTATAGTTGGGAGCACTGGTGGGAATTTTCAGTCCTACCTTTTTCATACAGTCAAGACTTTACATGGGCTGATATTTAATCAGCCTTATAAAGCTTACTAAATAGGCCAGATTAGAGCTTTGAGGAGTTACTATAGGCAGTCATATCTATGAAATGAAAAGTCAGTATACATGCAAGGATGAGTCATACATAACCATGTAAAAAATATCCGTGCCCATTATGAAGGATCATAGCCATTATGTTACTTTATTCTCTCTCAGAAGGATCTGATTCTCCCATTAGTCACATATTAATTACCACAACTACTAGGGCCAGCACCAGCAGAAAGAGATTTTTGTGATAACCTGTCCTGTTCTCTCACTTTCACCACTGCTTTTACCTGCAGATGATTCCCAGCGCTGGATACCTGTAGTCTGAATCTGTTTCTACACTTGTGAAAGGCGCAGAAAGAATAAGAAAGAATATAAAGCCCAATCTGACCTGGCCCCTGTGAAGTCACTGTAGCCTCAGGTTGGTCCAAGTTTGAACAAGACCAGCTAAAACATCTTACCATATTAAACTTGCTGCTAGTATTAGATCTTACCTACCTTTTAAAGTGGGTCTCCACAAGGTTCTAAATAACGCTATCAGCCTTGCCTGCTGTTTCTTTTCAGCTAGAACAAAACCAAACATTTACATGGTTCAACAACTGTCACATTGTAGTAATGTTAAACCTTCTTTGAGAAAATGCCCTGAAGTTTCTCTTGTTGAAGCTTTTGTTCCAAACCAGAATATTTGAAGGGTACTTGTGTATCCAAGACACTGAAGGACACTGTACTGCTGAAAGAGACAGTCTGAGACACACCAGCAGTCATATATGATCTGAAGCAATAGAGCTATCAAGGAAACCTGTATCCAACTGCAACTTTTTTGGTGCAGCTAGATTATTACATATGTATATGACCTCTGCCACTACAAATGTCCTTACACACCATGTACCCTTACCTTCAAGATGTTTTTATCTTCAAGCACCATTTTTAATCCATTTTCAAAAGCCTGGGGTCCCAGAAGAAAGGTATCAAATAGAAAAACACTCCTCTTTGTTACTGTCTAGAACAAATTCAGTAGCAGAGAAAATGAGTGAGGGACCGAAGAACAGAGGATTTGCAAGTAGGAGAAACTGCACTGTTGCCTATAAGCCATAAACTCCTGTGTACTGGCTTATGTGGGGAAGAGTGGGTTTAGTTTATTTAGTGGTAATTCATAAACAAGTCTTGTTTTTTCCAGAGGTGCTCAGAGATTTCCCCAATAATTGAAAAGAACAACACAGTTGTCTACTGTACATGGTTAAATAATGCATTTTGAGACATAACAAGACCACACTACTTAAAACAAATTCCTACACCTATTATGGTGACATTTTTACAGAATTACTTCCAACAAAATTCTTGTGCCCATGACATTTGTTTCATTGTCAAAGACCACTACCAAAGAAATAGAGGACATCATCTTCCACCCTAGCCTTTCAAATGGATTATAAAATTTAAGTTTTGCATATGTTCAAATTCATAATGGTTTAACAGAATCATAAAGCTTTTTAACAAAAGCTGAAAGCAATTTAGCCATACCAAAGCAAACATTTTGTGGACACTTACTTCTGCATAAAAGGGTTAAATCTGAAGTATGAACTCCCACACAATTTTTCACTTTGGATAAACACACTCACTTTTAAATCTATTTAAAAATAAGCTAAGATGATTTTGAGCTATCACATAAAGCTCTTCTCCTTTCTGGCTCTTCCTCTTCAGACAGTTATAACATCACAGATAACTAAGACACAGTATCATCTTTAGATGGATTTTACACCTTCAAGTATATTGGCATTGTGATTAGGTCTTGCAGTTTTTTAATAGGCAACAGCTGTACTACTGCAATAGCTCTACCTGTATACAAGAATGCAAACCAAATTTGTTGCATTGCTATAAACAAATGTATATATTACACACAAGTTTACTCATTATTCTATTACCTTATATAATTCTTTCCGTAACAGGTCTTTTATGAAATACTTAATCTCTCCTAAAGGATATCATATCCATTACCAGAACAGTTATGTAAGTCTTAAACACAGGGCAATCCTCAAATGTTTCTCAATTATGCCCCTGTTTAGTAACGCATTTTGGCAAGTATCTGTCTCTTACTTCAGGCCATGAGAGTTTTCCATGATGACACAAATTAACACCTTCTTCTGCTATTCTGACAACACATTGCTGTTTTAGGGGCAGCACCTAATGAAGAAAACAGGGATAAAATAAATACCACCAGAGAATGATAGGCAGAGGGACAAATAGTGAACTGTGATTTTTCTGGTCATTTTCCATATTTGAAAAGATCAAAACCACAATGAATCTCACATGGATAGTAATCCACGAGAAAAAGACACAGCATCGTTTCAGTTACAGACAGACAGCTGGAAATTCCACAACTAGAAGCATCAGTGATAGGTCTAGGAGGGATATAGATAACTAAAGAACACAGACTCCCCTGAACTCCTCCCAAGAAATTCTCCTAAGTAGAGAGAATTTCCTTAGGATACATTCATATCACATAAAGCAGGTGTTCCTCTTAGAAAAAAAGGAAAACACATTTTCCAAAGTATAAAAGAAAAAAACTGTTACTCTCACAGACACAAAAAAATTTCAGACAATTAAGAAAAGCAACCTGTAGTGCATGTAACATGAGTAGAAGGCATAAATGGAAATAAAAAAACAGCTTCTTTTTCAAGCAACAGTTAGATTCCTCTGTAAGCGGGGACATCTCTTCCTGGGGGAAAGAGCTTCCTCTGTAGTTACAATAGGTTCACCAAAATAAGAGCCCAAATCCCAACCAATGTTACTGCAAGACAAAATGGTATAGAGGACCCTAGAGTATTGCTGGTCTAATTTAGGATCTAAAAAATACTATTAAATTTAATAATAAATCTATCATTGATTCCAAGTTCTTAAACAAAGCCTTTCTGATCTCTTGTTTCTGGGGATAAGTGATAGGATCTGAGGGAATGTCATGAATCTGTGTAAGGGGAGGTTTAGGTGGGATATTAGGAAAAGGTTCTTCACCCAGAGGGTAGTTGTGCATTGGAGCAGGCTTTCCAGGGAACTGGTCACAGCACCAACCTTGACAGAGTTCAAGAAGCATTTGGACACATGATGTGATTCTCAGGGTTGTCCCGTGCTGGGCCAGGAGCCGGATTCAATGCTTCTTGTGGGTCCCTTTCAATTCAGGGTATACTATGATTCTACCAAGTCTGCTTTTTTATTGTACATGATTTAAGAGAAAAAGATCCAGTCATCTCCAGTCATCTCTGGAGTTCCAAACACCTGCAAAACCAACACAATTTCCTCTCCAAATAAGTTCTCATGTTGTTCCCTTCCTAAACAAAATAAGTGTTCACTAAATAGTAATACTGACTCTTCACCTCAGTTACTGGTGATACAGGGTCTGAAACCAGCAGCCAACACACACCGATGCAGATTTGTACACATCCACTGCAATGTCGCATGCAGTGCACTGTTGTGCACACTTTAATTATTCTTTGATGCCACCAGAGATAGCATTTCTACATGACTTAAAGAAGCCATTTACTACCTATTACTCAAATCTCACCACAGTCTGACAAAGGGTACTGACAATTAGAACAGAACTGGCCTAGAAGTCATATACATGGCATAAGAGCTTTCACTAGTACTTACTGCAGGGCCAAATTTCTGCTGGAAACAATCAACAGCTGTGAACTCCGCATTCTTTTCTTCCTTCTTCTAAAATGAAGGGAAGAAAATCATTAGGCACTTCCTCTAACTTGAATGCACTTTGCACCAGGTATGTATTTTAGATGTAGAATCACTCCACTTCTCTGGTTGGGCTAGTCATTCTTCCCTCTTTTCTTCCTAAACACACCCAGATTCCTGAACTGTTTGATTCAAATGCATACAGTCTAGAGCATGACCCCAATTCTGTTTTTTAACAAAAAATTGGCTGTTAAAAAGTGAGTTGCAGCATTACCTTTTGTCATTATGATACCCAAATGAAAAAAAATGTGTCAGTTAAAAAAATTACATCCATTTAAAAAAAAAAGCACCCTAATTTCCAGCCTTGTCTAGGGAACGAGAAAGACTGTTGCAAAGACAAAACTAACAGACAGATCACATCAACCCTTGCTCATTTTTTGTTACTTCTGTAATTTTGGTATTTGAATTGTTAAATATAAAAGTGAATGGACAGTGAAATAGCTGAGTAACTTAGCATCTCAGTTGTGGAGAATGTACAAACAGCAGATTATTGTAAAATTACAAAAGTGCTGTATGTATTTTATATAAAGTACTTGCAGATGCCCTATCCCTGGAAGTGTTCAAAATCAGGCTGGATAGGGCTCTGAGCAACATGGTCTAGTGGAAGGTGTCCCTGGAACTAGATGACCTTTGAGGTCCCTTCCAACCCAAAACATTCTATGATTCTATTTTCTCCCCCTCTACCCAGTTAAATGCAACTAACCTTTCTTTAGCCTATACAGATCTTGTACTCTTGTCACAGCTCTATGAGAACAAAACAAGCTGATTTTGGATCTGCACCTGTATATGTACACACCTGTATATGTTACAGCAGGAACCACATGTCCAAATCAATGCAAGCACCTGACAGCCAGCACAGATCCAAAGAGCAATAGTCTTACTGAGCTTTGTGTTATCTGCCATGCCACATACATTTCAGGAACAAGTATAAGATTAAAAGAGTCACCAGAGAGAAATTCTCACTGGCTGAAGCACTTTGATTTCTCCAGAAGATAAGTGGCTGTGCTGCTCAGCCACTTTTACAGTGGACAAGAGCTACAAGATAAACCTTCTGGTAAGCAGGTGAGTTTCCTTCTGATGTCTGCAGATAAGGAGCTCTGTACCTACCTTTCTGTGACCATTGTTTTTTCAGTATACATCTTGTTCTGATATGGGTAAACCAAGAGATAACAGCGTCTGGGAAAGACATTATCTGACAAAGACTAACTACATTGCTTGAGTAATATCCACATTACCTGAGAGGCAGTATTTTGAGCTGTCTGAGGCTCTGAGCTGGCTCTCCAAGGAGACGCAAGGAGAACTCCATGGGCCACAATCTGCTGCCTGTGTCTGCTTGTTTGTTCCCTTCAACAGCTGAAGTGCACCTGAACGAGCAAGGCAACCATACATAACACAGACGTCATAACATTATTAAGACTTCCATGCTGATAAAATGTGCAAAGGAAAATACTTCATCCAATACCCCCTACCTGTGTTCAGAAAATGAACTGCTGCATATAAAGCAACCTCTCAGTGCTATGTGCATGGCTCTTAAAGAAGATCCTGAAGCTGCACCAAAAAAAGCTTATTTTGCACAAAAGTGCCTTTATTTCAGATAAAATTTCACATTTATTCTGAAAATAAAGGGTGAAAGCAGAACCTGAAGTGGTGTTCACTGCAAAGGTCAGCAACAATCTTAAGGTAAGCTAGAGTTTAAAGTACAAAGAATGAAGTACCTGACCTGAGCCCAAGAACAACACAGTTTAAATATCTGTAAGTATTTATATTGATTCAATCGTATTTGATCCATTACTGTAATTATTAATTAAGTTACTGTAATTGGGGGGCAATTATACAAGTTCACCAATATGTAAAATAGTTGCATCCACCGAAACTTTACTGTAATCAAACACAAGTTATAAAATCATAAAAAATGGTAGCATTTTGGGACCCCCCCAAAAAAAAGTATGCAAGCATTCACCTGACTGAAAGACGTCACACATAAAAGCGCTTAATTTCTACCATAGGGCAGCTTGACGTCAAGAATACTCGGGAAATATGACTTCTTAGTATAAATTTCCTTATGCTGGTATAAAAATATTCAATTATGATTATAGAGTTCAAATAATGTCCATCCCTATGTCAATATAATAAAACATAAAAACACTTTGTGACCAGCCTTTAAATGTAGCTGCAGAGTCTTGTACCTAAAATTGTATATTTTAAAGATTTACACACGAATTTGCTACCGTGCCACTATTCAAATATATGTTAACTTAGGGTTACTTAACAGGGAGAAAGAAGACAAGACAGCAGCAAGCACGACGAGAAGTTGTGGAATCTCCCTCACTGGAGACATTCAAGAACCGTCTGGACAAAATCCTGTGCCATGTGCTCTGGGATGACCCTGCTTGGGCAGGGCGGTTGGACCAGACAACCCGCTGTGGCCCCTTGCAACCTGACCGGTTCAGTGATCTGCAAAACAAAGCCAGCCCGTGGGACCCGGCAGTACTATTAACCAGGAACAAACACCTACAAAGGCGTCACTTTAAGCGACCGCTCTCTCCCTCCACACCAGAGGGTTTCCACACGCGTGCGCGCGCGATCCGTGGGCGGGCGCTGAGGGCGGGCGGAGGCGGAACGAGGCGGCCGGGCCGGGCGGAGGCGGCGGGCGGGGCGGTGACAGGGAGCGGTGACAGCGGGGCGGCGACGGGCGGGGCGGTGACAGGGAGCGGTGACAGCGGGGCGGCGACGGGCGGGGCGCGCTCGCCTTCCGCCTCAGAGCAGCGGGGCGGCCGCGGTCGGGCCTGTGCCGGGGGTGGCTGTGACTCCGCCGTCGCTGCTGTTCGGCTGCGTAACTCTCTCCTTCCCTTCCCTTCCCTCCCCCTCGGGCCCAGCGGCGCGATGGGTTCCCGGGCGTCCACACTGCTGCGGGACGAGGAGATCGAGGAAATCAAGAAGGAGACGGGCTGTGAGTGCGGGGCTGTGAGCGCGGCGGGGCGGGCAGTGCCGCGGGGGTCGGCGCGCGGAGCGGGGCCGCTCGCAGGGCCTCGGGTCGAGACCCCGGCCTGGTGCGGGTCGAGACCCCGGCCTGGTGCGGGTCGAGACCCCGGCCTGGTGCGGGTCGAGACCCCGGCCTGGTGCGGGTCGAGACCCCGGCCTGGTGCGGGTCGAGACCCCGGCCTGGTGCGGGTCGGGCCGTCCCTGGGCCGGGACCCCGCCGCCCACAGCCGCCGGGGCCGGACACGTCTGGCAGGCCTGCGGAAACCTGGGAAACGCCTCTCGGCTCGCTCCCCGCTGCCAGTAGCTGGCAGGAGCAATGAGATCCCGGTGGGGTGGAAGGGAAGCAGTGCTTTTTCTATCCGCAGTATTGCATTTGGGCAGAGATAATTCGTTGGGTTTTGAAGAGTCGTCTGTCTCAATGTCTGGTGCTGGAATTTCTCTCCAACAGCTGTTTTAAGCCCATAAAAGGTCTCATTGTATATTAAATGTTTTTCCCAAGTGTTACTAGTTTCATAGGCTAGTGCTAAAGCTGCCCTAAGGTTATTCAGAATGAATGCTGAGTGGCATTTAAACCATAAAGGATGGTAATGTAACTTGTGACAGATAGGTGTGGTTAACTAAAAAAAAGTGAAAATCCCTGTACTTGCCAGCAACTGGAAGAGCATTATTCAAGCTAGTCTATAGTATTTAGCTACTTTACCATATACTATTTATTTGAGCGAGTTGTTCTTCATAAGCATAAAATACCTTGGAAAAGATGAAACTCCATTGTTGTTGATTTGCCTGATAAAATGAAAGCCTGAGAATTCTAGCAAATACTGAATGATAGGAAATGGAGGTTGCCCTCCTAACTAGTTGGAGAGGGGAGGTCGTAACATCATAGGTATTGCTTTGCTGTTTGTTCCCCCAGGAACCGTTTCAGGTAAACATGGTCTTCCCAGATGACATTTTTCTTCTGCATATGCTTACTAATCTGTTCTAGCTACTTGGAAATACTTTCCTCAGTTTTCTTTTTAATATAAATGGTATCATATATTCTTCTTAAATATTAGTTTTTTGTGTCAGGAAAATGAGTGACTACAGAAAAGAAGTAGAAGAAAATTGAGAGCACTGGCACTAGTGTAGTGGAAGGCTGAGTGAGTTTAACATAGTTTCCATGATCCTTTTTCCATCTGTCAAAGGAATCTTCTACAGGAAGGCTGTGATAAACAAGTAGGAATGTTAAAGTCTGCTTATCTATCAATAATTTACTGTGGGTTTTTTTGGTTTTAATCACAAACAATATAAAGATAGCCTCCTCATAAAGACGCTTCAAAAACCAAACCCCGAATCTGCAGTGTTTTTCCAAAAGGTCTTATATTTTTCCTCATGCTGCTATTTGATTTATTGTCTGTGGTGTTTTATTCCTAAAATTTTACGTACATGACATTTAAATAAATACCATTAGGATGGCTATGTAGATATTCTAAGCAATAAAACCACTTACTCTAGTCAGCCTCTAAATGCTTTTCTTGTACCATCAACGTGGGAGCTCAAAGTTACGATCGAGAGTTCAGCTTTGTGGTGTGAGTTTGGTTCATTTCCATGTATTTTTATCTGTTCAGTTTTATAATTAATACCACTGGTAATCAATGATTGCTAATCTCTGAGTCATGCTTGCTTGCAAGTCATCACAGCATGTCTCACTGACTTATCCTTTTTTTTTTCCTTTTCCCCACCTGTAACTGCAGTCCAGGAATGTGATTTTTCTATGCTTTTTATACTTCTCTAGGTAGATGGAAAATTCCAAGAAGCTTTTAGCACTGTTACACACTTCATAGAGGTGAAAATAGTTATACAAGGTGGGAAAAATGACAGGCATTGATTATGTGGATCAAAGTTCACAGAGAGAATATTCAGTAACACTACCTTAGCAGACACTGTCCTGTGGTTTGTTAGAAACTTGATGCTGCTGGTAGTTTACCCACTAAGGAGCTTGAGAAAGGGACTTTGTAGACGTGAAACAATCTGGCAGTATTACATATCCATATTGAACTGGTGGTCTGGTAAGTCCTCCTAAGGATTCTTTTTTTGGCCTCCTTATGGTGAAATGTGCCTTCTTCAGTTCATCTGGGATAGGTGTGAAGCACTGAATAGAATATTAACCAATTCGATTGAGTTCAACTATGGAATTATACAGCTTTTCTCTTGCTAAATTTTATGTAGCACAAAACTAGGATGGCTATGATACTAACATGTGTGAGAAACTGTATGTAATGTTCTTTAGCAGAACAGATTTAAAAGGTGTGTTTTAGAAGCATAGTCTTTCAGAAGCCGTACAATGACACTTAATCTGTTGAATGAAATTCATTTGGATTAAAGTTCCATATTAATTTTTTTTATGTTGTGGTTGAAAACAGAGGTGCTAAGCCTGAAGTTAACAGTCCTAAATGTTTTATGAAGTTGTATGGAAGCTGTTTGCTTTGCATATAAACATTTTGAAATTTGGGGTTGAAAAAACCTTGAGGTCATCCTAATTGCTTTTGTATTTCAGTAACAGCTATAAGAAAAAGGTAAGACATCCAAGATGTTACTTTTCTACAATCTGTTGAAAGCTTTTGGAAAGCCACTGGAATGTAACAGTATTCAAACTATTTTGTCCACGCCCTTTGTTTCCATGCTTTGAAGCCGTCTACTTAAGGATTAATAATAAACTAATGCTCATATCTGAGTTTAGGGGAAAAAATATTTGTGTGGTAACAGGTGATGGAATTTTCTGATGGATGTTAATATATTTTCTAAGTATATAAATATATTTGAGTTTATGCTGCTGTTTTAGACAAGAGTTTCAGTCACTAATTACTAAAAACTTCGCAATGATTTAGCAGAAGTAAAATAGAGGGTACAGTTGCTAATTTAGGAGTCTTAACTTAAATTTTTAGAAGGACCTTAGTGGGGTAGCAATATAGATAAAATGGTGTTTCAGCTAGCTTTAAGAGGAAGAAATGTCAAAATCTTTATTTTTGCATGAGAATGTGCTGAAAAATCTTTAGTGATGCAGCTTTCATGAGGGGTGAGAGGCCAAAGGAAATTATGAAAGGATACAGTGGTGGACCTGAATCATTTTCCTTTCTTATATAGCTATGATGTACTTTTTGTCTAGTATGATGTTAACAGAAATATCACTTCTCCTGTCAACAGCTATTACTATTTCTCATATACTAGCTGTTACAGAGGTGTTCCAAAAATGGAGTTGCTGACATTAGTTTGGAAATGATGCTGAGTAGAATTCTCATCACTTTCTTTGTGTACAGGTGTGAGCATGGGGCTTCTTACTGGACATCTAACTTCCAACCTGTTCTTTTTTCATCATCAGATATTGTTATTGCATATGTTATCTAAAACACTAAATCAGAAATGCGGAAGTTTGAACTCTTTAGAATACTGGTACTTGTTTTCTGTGCATATGTTGCTAACTTGAAATTGAGCAAGCTGCCCAGTCTGATTGTAGAGAGGTTGCCTTAGGTGGAACTGAGCAAATTGACCAATCCTATGTGAAGAATGAAAGCTGAAGAAGATGGGGGGGTAAAAAGACAACCAAAAAAACAACCCAGTTGCTGGCAGGTCTTCCTAAAGGAGGGAACGATTGAACCTAAACAAATAGCCTTGAGAAAGAACAAACCTGAAAAAAGGAATTTGCCTCGCTTGTCACAGATGAAACAACTACTGTGCAACCTGTTCCCAAATAAGTTTTAGCAAGTAACAAAAGCATTGTGCATGTGCTGATGAAGGCTTTTTAAACAACTAGATCTGAAAAGACATTAAGTCCTAGTTTAACATTGTAGAAAATCACGCCTTTACTGAGTAAACATTAACATTCAATTAAGTCTTATTTCATGTATTTATTAACTTGATCAGAAGAGACTGAAAAGCCAAGGTCTCCTGTAGGGCCTTGTGGTTTAATCCCAGCTGACAATGAAGTATCACAGTTGCTTGCTCACTCCCTGCCCAGGTTGAATGGGGAGGAGAATTGGGGGGGGGGGTGGGTGTTGGAAGAAGGTAAACCCCATAGGTTGAGATCAGAACAGTTTAGTAATTGAAATAAAGTAAGATATAATAATAATAATAATGTTAATAATAACAATAATAATACTAAATGTAATGAAAATAGGAGAGATATAAATAAAACACAAGAAATACAAGTGAAGCACAATATAACTGCTCACCACCTGCTGACCAATGCCCAGCCAGTCCCTGAAGAGCAATTGGCCCCTCATGGCCAACTCCTGCAGTTTATACACTGAACATGACGTTCTATGGTATGGAATCTCCCTTTGGCCAGTTCAGGTCAGCTGTTCTGGCTGTGCTCCCTCCCAGCTTTTTGTGCACCTCCTCACTGGCAAAACGTGGGAAATGGAGAAGTCCTTGGCTTAGGGTAAGCACTACTCAGCAATAACCAAAACACTGGTGTGTTGTCAACATTGTTCTCATATGAAACCCCAAAACCACAGCACTGTACCAACTACTAAGAAGAAAATGAACTCTGTCCCAAACGAAACCAGGACAAGCATTCTTTCAGTGTTAAAGGAATTGCTATTCTATATAGGTTTATTCCACTCATGGATTTATCATGGACTGTTCTAAAGATCTAGTTGTCTAATATCTTGGGTTGTCTAATATCTTGGTAATGTTGACAAAATTATGCTGAACTTAACACTGGCTTTATAATTTCTGTTTCAGATGCAGATTTAAAAAGTCTGCAATAACTTTCTACTTGTTTGTGTCCCAACTCATTCTGAAATTTCTCTAGAAATAGGCTTTTTATTTTTTTAATCCATTGTCCTAAAGCCCGGAAATTACTTTTGTGAGCAACTGGCTCACAGGTTGGGTGCAAAGGGTTATAGCAAATGGGGTTACATCAGGCTGGTGACTTGTCACTAGGGGGGTTCTACAGGACTCCGTTCTCATCAGCATCATAAAACAACTTGTATTTAGGACTTGAAGGCATACTGAGAAAATGTGCTGATGACACTAAATTGGGAGGAGCTGTTGACTCCCTCAAGGGCAGATATCTTGACGTATCAGAGTGCTGGGCGCCAAAGTATTGGTTTAATTTAGGATCTAAAAAATACTATTAAATTTAATAATAAATCTGTTATTGGCTCTGAGTTCTGAAACAAAGCCTTTCTGATTTCTTCTCTCTGGGGACCAGTGATAGGACCTGAGGGAACAGCATGAAGTTGTGACAGGGAAGGTTTACGTGGTTAGGAAAAGATTCTTCACCCAACAGGTGGTTGGGCACTGTAACAGGCTCCCCAGAGAAGTAGTCACAGCACCAAGCCTGACAGAGTTCAAGAACAATGCTCTCAGGCACATAATGTGATTCTTGGGGTGGTCCTGTGCAGGGCCAGGAATTGGACTTTGATGATCCTTGTGGGTTCCTTCCCACTCAGGATATTCTGTTATTCTATAAACCCCAAAATGACCAAACTTTAGATTCAGGCAATTCTGTAAGGGAAGAAAAGTGAAGGCATAAAGCCTCTCTGACCACTTTCCAGATGCAGAGAAACTGAGTACACTTTCCCTCTTATGTGGAAAAAAGACAACAGGACTAGAGATAAGCAAAAGAGAAGGAAAGATACTACAACAGAAGTCTGCAGTGTCATGAATGATGTAGAGGTCATCAGTGTGGGCTGTGTCCAGATTATTTCTAGCCATAAAGAAAATAAGGTGGAACTGTGAATCAAATATTTTTTCTTTTTAATTGACATTTACTGAGTCAGATAACTGAAAAATCTTAAAGACTGAAAATGGAAATAGAAGGCAGTTAGATTTTTAAAGAATGAGCTTATTTGTGGATTTTTGAATATTAAGCTGTGATTTATAGCTCAGGAAGTCCCTAAAGGCTGATTGCCATATGCTTCCAATGTAACTCTTTCTGTGTGATCTCTTTTTTGAACACAGCTTCTGGCAACAGAGTAGTTCAGTGTAATGAAGTCTGCTCCTGTGAGGAACCATTGACATGCTAATTTATCTGTCTTTCTTTTTTTTCTTCAGTTTCCCACAGTCAAATCACCCGCTTGTACAGTCGCTTCACTAGCCTGGACAAAGGAGAAAATGGCACTCTTAGGTGGGTATTGTCACTAATTCAACTGTCCTTGCATTGGCACATCTGTAGTGGTAACTTGCTGTTGCAGGATGCCTGCATGTTTTCTGCATGTAGTAAATCACTGAGGCTGTTATAACAGGTTCTTTCATACTTACTGTCTACATGGACATTGAAGTTTCTTCTCTTTTATGAAAGGTTTCATTGTTGAACTGAGGTGCTCTAAATACCAGTTGTCTTTATACAGTGTTGAAGGTATGTAGCAGTTAATATAAGAAAGGTTAGATTTGATATTCAAAGTCTTATAAAAATGTTCAGAATTGTCAAACAACATTTTTAGATTGTTATTTCTTACCTTTCTTTATATCTTGTTTCTCATAATTATTACAAGAATGGTTCTACCCTGTCTTCTTTATCTCGGCTTTCATGACAAAAAGACATGTTTTTACTTGTTTCTGATATCCGGTGTCTTTTAACACTACTTTGATCTGCAGTCCATTTACTATACTTAAGTTTGCACACCCATGTCCGTTAATATGCTCAAAAATAAAAAAAAAGAGCTGGAATGAAGTCACTGTGATTAAACAAACATTCTGTTCTTAAAAGTGGTAGTGCAGGATATTCTAAGGCCTTTAAAGTGTTTGTCTTGTGTCAACAATTTGAAAACTACAGAAGTGAACTGGTTTCCTACAGCTTAATCAATTAAATAAAGATGAGTCTTTATCTGTGAAACATTTTCCGTTTTGATGGACTGAGTCTGCTGGAAAGAATATTCTCAACAAAAAGGTAAACTCTAGTGAGTTGATTGCCTGTTAAAATATATCTCTGCCTGCTGTCGTTGTTCTCTAGCCTTCCCTACTCTTGTGGATTTTGTTTCCCATTCATAGCCACAGTGCACAGGAAAGCTGGAGACAATTCGGAAGAGAGTAGGAAGGGGAAAGGAACCTTGCTGTAGCATAGTATATGTGGTCTGGCTCTTACAGAGTTAATTTCTTTCATAGCAACTGTATCCCAGTCAAATCCAGTAAACATAGACTTGAGGGTCACCTGACGTTTTGTATGTGATCTTGTAAAATATGACTCTAGGATGCACTATAAACCCAGGAAAGCTCAACCTAACTGTGATGCTAGAATTGCCTCTCGAAAGACGAAAGTGGCAAGTTGTAAGACACGTGGTCTTTGGCAGTACTGTTGGCTTACTGCAGTTTCCTCTCCTGAAGGAAATGCGAAGTTCCTGCTAGTCCCACAAATTGCTGACTTCTCAGCATTTAAGTAATTGAATGTGGAATTGTGATGTAAACAGGACTACTGAGTGATTATTTTGGGTTAAAAATACTCTCCCTTCCCTTTTGGAATGTATAGATTTTGAAGATGATTGACTCCAGTGATTTGGACTGTGGCTGTACTGTAAATTTCTGGATGTGTATAGCTGAAGGGATGATAAAATGGATTGTATGTGTGGAAAAAATTGGCTTGGGATGGGATATACCAGAACTACTTAAGCCCACTCTGACACTAGAGCCAAAGTATCACATAAATTGTAGCATTGGCAATTCTGACATAGAGATCAGCTGATATTGAAGGTAAGGTTAATACTTCATGAGTCTTAAAATTGAATTATTTGAAAAAAAAAACCAAACAACAAAACATTAACAGCCTTTTCAAACTTTACATGTGGGTTTAATACTCACTGATGAATAAAAGTGATGGCTACCAGACTAGTCTAGCACAATTTGAACCTAGCACATGTTCCTCTTCAACTCTTCCCTCCAACACTGAATTTACTTACTGAATCCATAAAATTTGTATAAAATACTGTAAGATAGAAATAAAGATTTGTATAGTGATTGTAATGTTTACATAAGAGGAGTAGTTGATTAAATATGCTATGAATGTCTGCTGCATAATGCTTAGTTTCACAGTATCGTGCATCAGGAGAAGTTTGACTTCCATTGTTGTTAATCATGTGGTAGTTTGGAAAGGAAGTGAAGATTGTTTGGAAAATCCTAGCAACTGTGCTAATTATGATCCCTTAACTAGCAGTCTTGACCCCTAAACATAGCCCACTCTGAAATATGTCTGACTTAAGAGTGGCATTCAAATTTTTAAACTTGTTCTGGTACCCACAACGTGTGGAAACTATTACGTTTAAGTAATGGAAAACTGCTTCCCCAAAAAAATAAAAAGAATGAGAGGAAAGTAAGAACTACAGCTTGGAAGGTCATAGATGTTGGTTTCTGAAATACAGATCAAAGAGAACTTGCTGCTTTAAGACGAGTAAGTAGAAGTTGTCACTTGCTTACTACCACCGAATCGTTCAGAAGGTATGTCTCCTGTTTGTTTCCTGTGAGCAAGAACTACCATTTCCGTAAGGATGACTTATGCCTTTGACTTACAAATCAAACATGACAAAATCACTCACGTGACTATGATTAGGAAAAGAAGTGTTATGCAGTTCCTTATGGCATGAAATAAATTTTTAGATGTGTACCACCCTTCTGAAGCAGGGCAGGGTAAAGAGTATTTTGTACAGAAGATCTGGTAGATGATGATTAATCCAAGTAGTTCTGGAACTATATAATCAAAAGAAATCTTTCCTAGCCAGATGTTTCTATCCAGTGTACATACGTGAGTTTCAAGGCACTTTGTTTTTAAAGAGTTACATAAATGAAATATTAGAGATGGTTATTGATGGATATAAAACTTCATATGCCTTGTTTTTGCTTTCTTTTTTTCCTCTCTCATCATAGTCTAAATGACTATGCTCCATTTTTACCTGTCAACTCTTAAAAGTGTAGAAAAATCTTATATTTTTCCTTAGCTTCCCTTTTCCTAAACAAAATGAGTAAGTTCCATCAGACTTGCTGAGGGACTGAAACAAAATCATGTTGTAAAAGACAGGACAAAAGTGTTCTTTTGAATATTCTTGTCACCTTTGGTTTCAATATTGTGACATGCTGAATTGCCAAAACAAAAGGTTGGATCCATACCCTTGGATGTCCATAGCTACATCTAAGTTGTGAAATCTGGAACATACTCGTTCTGTCTACATCCTAGCTATAGCTTAGGAAGAAATCAGTGTGTATGTTCTCTTTATTTACATGCTGATTTCCAGTATGAGGAAGTAGAAGTGTATGACCAGGATAAGTATGTTTTTGCTTCAGTAAGTCTCCCTGTTGGGCTGGTAGTGAAGTGTACACCACACAAGAATACATCTGTTTCAAAGTTTATCTACTAGTAAGTAGCTCTAGACAGACATGTATAGAGCTATAAAAAGGAGGTACTTGTCTAGCTGCTGTTTTTGCACATAACTTTTGCATGGAACCTCCCACTTAACAGTAGTTTCTTGTGCACTGGGGAAATGACAGGTTAAGCACTTCAGAATTATTTTTTATCATACAGTAATTGGTATAGCCTGGTAAGTGTGGAAGAAGGAGGGAGGGGCAAATATTCTGAAAGCTGGTACCTAGAGAGAGTAGATACACTGAGCTGTTTGTGTGTATCTCATGCTTATGAAAGCTGTTCACAAGACTGTGTCTCCTGGAGAACTTCAGAAAGCCTCTGATCCTGAGAGAAGGGTAACATGAGCTACCCAGGCCATCTGTTACCCAGGCCATCTTTGTCAGTTAATTGAACCATCTCGGCCTGGAAGGATGTCAGGCTTGTTATTAGTTCAAACTGATATTGCAAGATTGCAAAGTAAAACATAAAAGCTAGCTTTCTGAATGTGGAATTCTTTTGCTTAAGAAAATGCAAAGCATTTTTAGCTTTATCAAAAATAGACAAGGCAGGAAGGATATGGGTTTGGATTGGAAAAGATAGGGTACAAGAATAGTCTGTTCCTCCATGCTCAACCACAGTTTATGCACCCTGCCTTTTTTCTTTCCTTTCCTATTGCTCATCTAATTATCACCTTTTCACATACTTCTGGGCCTAATGTTTATGAACCAATTACTGCTCTGATAGTTAAGCAACTTTTAATATTTGCATAGAGCATGGATAAGGATGAAGTTAAATGAGGTGGCTGACACAATCATGAAAGAGGGGAAGCCCATACTCTTTCCCCGTAACTTCTCCAGGCTCCCAGCACCTCTTTGGCAGCTGTGGTGCTCTTAGGAAGGTAGGGAGTTTTTTTAGGGGGGATGCATTAAACCACCAAAAGGTTAACTGAATGAGAAGGCTGATGTTAGCAAGGGAAGGGAGCAATGGAACCTCTTCAGTTTGACCAACTGTTTGACCAGCTTGCACGATACACCTTACTGCTTTTAATTATTTCCCTTCTTGAAGTAATTTCTTGTTACCTATATCTTCTAGGCATCTTCCCTTTCATCTACCACTTGTGATTTGCATATGTTTGGGGTTTTTTCCTCTCCATTATTTTACTTTCCCTCAGCTCTAGAGAGCCCTACCCTCCTCATCCCTGGTGAAGTAACAGTGTTTTGCTACCATCTAGAAGTAACAGAAGGATGAACAAAAAGAAATGGAAGAAAAAAAGGGTCTAGTAGGTTTCTTGCAGTCTTTGGGGTAAGGATCCCTTTACGGTAGGGATGTGCTTTGTGCTTTGGAGGGTGTACTCGCACTTAGGTGTACTTGTCGTGCTTAGGATCTACGAATTCTTTGCTGCAAAGTATGTCTCATTGTGAATACACTGGTATATATATTAAGTCATTGGCCTACATAGTGTTCACATGCAGTTAAAGGTACTTTGCATGTTGCATTTAAGGAAGAATTTGGTAAGAGTCAAGTTTCTGGAAAGATACCTTAGAAGAGCCTTGTTGCCCATTAAGTAGAGGGCATTAAATTTCCTGTAAGCTCTGGCTTCAGCTGGGTGAAGTTAGTCCCTGATGACTGCAGTAAGCCTTAGTTTTAGAAAGGGGAGAATAACTTACCTCATGCACTCATTTGCTTTTATGGCTGTTACAGCTATTTTAGTTATAACACTCACTCAGTAATGTGCTCTTAATAAGCAAAAGCAGTCTACTGCAATTCTGATAATGACAGGACAAATAGATTTAAAACCTGGGAAGTTATTTGTGGTTAATTGTTAATCTCCTGTTAGAAAGCAGAATAACTAGAGACTGAAATGCTGAGTGTGAACTGAGGCTGAATACTAGAAAGTAGTGATATGCAAGTAAAAAATTGTGAACCATTAGGATTTTGCTCTAAATGGAAGAGAGGGCAGCTGCTACTTTTAGGTTATAAACGTTAGCATTGACACTGAAGTTCTGTTATTAAAATATTGTTACTGGGACATGGGTTTTCCACATCGCTGCATCTCCTGCTTAAATAACTAATGCATACTTTGCCCTTCAGCTATAGCTTAAAATGCAGGAGACCTGAACAGTCTGGTAACAAGTTGATCATGCTATACATATGTTAACTTTGCCTATTAAAAGTAACTTGGACCTGGTCAGAGCAGAAGTTTACTGGGATAACTTAAAAATATGGTCAGGTCACTCTAGAAGGTCAAACAGTTTAACCAGGTTGTAACAGATATATTGTAACTGACACTCTTAACAACAGTACTGTGGTGTGACTGGGTGCAAGGAGTGCTTTAGAATACATTTAAAACTAGATCATCTTGCTTCTTGTCTGTCCCAAGCTAGACTAGTGATAAGGTCAGCCAATTCCTTTTTTCTCTTCTTTAATATTGCTGCATTGTAAAAGGCCAGTATACTTACATAATCTCAAAATTTGTTTGTGCTTACTTTGCCAGTTTTTTGGTATAATAACAACATGAATCAAACCTTGTTGCCAATTCATTTAGTGAGCATAGTTTTCAAAAGTAGCAAATATTCAGTAACCAAGTTTGAGACTTTGACCCAAACTTCAAAATCAGCAGGACTGCATTTGACTTGAAGGGAATTGCCAGTGTTTCTGGAGATTGGGCAGGAAATATCAAATTCTGCATTCAGACAGAATAAGGTGATTTTTTTACAGCTTTACCCCTTTGCTGTTGGCAATTTAAAATTTAAATGATTATGGAGTACATCTTGTACTAACTGATAAGTTGCTGTGTTCCGTGGTAGTGAAAAAACCAACAAACCAAACCTGTTCACTAAGACACATTTGGTGCATCTGCCTTGGTCACGCCAAGATTATCCCACTTCCCTGTCACTGACAGTCTATTAGATTGAAAGAAAAGATAAATTATTACTGCAGTTCTAATAATAGAATGAACCCTGTGTTCATGTCATACTGATCTAAAATGTGTATACAGTACAACTCATGATGTCTTTCAGATCAGAGAAAGTTATAACAATGTAAGCTTAGCTGTGTTTATATTGTTCTGTGTATATGTAATGAGCAGAAAAGAGAATGGCTAGCAAGAGCAGTGAGTATTTGCATGTCCTGGTATATCTAGTGTACAAGCACCTGTAAAAGTGTAAATTTACTACTTTAAAATATGAATGCAGCTTGGTTGAAGCTGAAATAATCTGAATTTTGGTGCTTATAATAATATATAAATTTGTTGCATAAACAAACAAAAAAATCTATTGGAACCTGCAGATCACCTGTAGTATGGTTGGAGGAATATGGTATTGTCCCAGAATCTGAAATGAGTCAGTCTGGAAAAGTCATGACAACTCAAATGATTTAGTACCAAAATAATTATTAAAAACCCCCAATCATTATTTTAATTTTGAACCCATAATTTCCTTCAAAGCCTTTTCAGAAGCTTTCTTTTTCTTACATTGCAAACTAGTTGGCATCGTTACAGTAAGGTTTCGAGCACAAACTATGTTAGTGTCTGAGAAGTGCTTAACGTGATAAATGAACACTGCTAGTTTGTAATGGAATACAGGCTTGGCATTGTCTTTTGCTTTGTTTTGTGCCATCAGTCATAGAGAAAACATGATTTAAAGAGTTACACTTTCAAAACCACCAAGTGTCTTGCTGCAGAAATAGAACTCCATGGTTGTTTTACTGTGAATTCTTTTTAAGCAACTTCTCTGACTTCAACTTTATGCAGACTTCTTGTGTTCTTGCTTCACTTAGCCGTGAAGACTTCCAGCGGATTCCAGAGCTTGCCATCAATCCACTCGGAGACAGAATTATCAATGCCTTCTTTCCAGAAGGGTGAGTTCCAACAAACTGCATTTGTGAGCAGGCACAAAATGTATAGTTCATCAGAAGTTTTGATAGGAGCGAAATGCTGATAATTAAAACTCAGAATTTGAATTTACTAATAATTGAACACTTCAAACTTGTCATGCAGTGTATGTGGATACATTATTTCCTCAGCATATTTTCATTTTTTAATGAAAAATACTTCATGACATGACAAGACTTTTTTTGTGCTTTTTTTATTGACAAACTCAGGCTTCTCTTAAAGCTAATTTGCGTCAAGACTATTTAATGGTAAGTAGCATTGCAATTAACTAATTAGGTGTTATTATATTTAAGTGTTCCATTGTTATTAGATTGGCTTTTTTAGTTGATTGCTTTTAGGTTTTTATTACATTAGCTTATGACACTTTTAACACAAATCCAAAGAGTTGATCAGATTTGCAGTATTGTCTCTTTCATTATACCTCTCTGAATTGTTCTATGGAATCTGCTTCTTTTCTTGAACACAGTTGTCATTACTGATTGATGGAGATTGGATTGTCTAATCAAGTTATATCAGCTAATACCAGGCAGGGTTTACTGAGTAGAAAGCAGGAGTCCTGGAAAGTACTTACATGGGCAGTTCCCACAGAAACTAGAGAAGAGAATTCTTTGTCAGAGAGCAGTGAGCAATGGCAGCCCCACAGGCAGGAGCCAAGGGTGACAGCAAAGCTGGAAGGGGTCATGTACTTGCTGACAAAGGGCATGCACCTGAACAAGAATAGCAGAGCAGGTCCAGTGACTGTTGACAGGTCAGCCAACAGTCCAGTGGCTGACAGCAGTGAAACTAGTTTTAAGTCAATCCAGGGAATTGGGGTCCAGGTCAGCGAGATACGTTGCTACATTCAGGCATAGCTGCAGCACAGCTCAGGTGGGGCTAAAGGTGAGGGCTTGAGCTTCAGTAGAACTTGCAGGCAAGGGGAGGGGACCCCTCAACAAGACTTCTCACAGCTTCTTTTTTTACACATCATACTTCATAACAGCACGATCCCAGCTTGCAACAGCATAGGCAGCCAAACCCTGGGGAGGTGGGAGTGGAAGAGTTCATATGGTCTTGATGTTTCAGACATTCATAGTCTTCTTTACTGAAATGAAAAGCATATATAAGCTATGCTAAAACTGACCTCCTGAAATGCTTATGCAGAGAGGACCAGGTGAATTTCCGTGGATTCATGAGGACACTAGCCCACTTCCGACCTATAGAAGATAATGAAAAGAGCAAAGACCAGAATGGACCAGAACCACTTAACAGCCGAAGTAACAAGCTCCACTGTAAGAAATGTGAACCTTTCTATAGAACCAATTCTTTTTTATTTTCTATTTTTCCTTAGGAAGAGAGGAAAGGGGCTTGGGATCTTCTGTATAGTTGTTTCCTGTGGAATGATATCCTCTAATATCTGAATTTTCTTTTTTTAATTAACTTGGAAGCTTACCTGTTCAGAATGTCAACAACTGAGCCATTGCTACATTGTAATTTGATGGACTTGTTTGAATCTTGAAATATGTATATTCTTTCCAAAAACACAGAAGTGTTTCAAAATGCTTTGCATTCAAAGTTATTTCAGATTTAGAAGCCACATCCCATACGTGAATGAGCTTTTCTGCTTCTTTTTCCAGTCTTCCATATAATATAGTGTTTTTTCCTCACCTTCAGCTGAGTACTTTCTTAAGTATTTGGATGTCTGCCTACAGTATATGAGCAGAATGCTCTTTCTTGCTAATCAAATCTGGCAACAGTCCTCAGGGCACTTAAAATTTCTGTCATATCTCATCCAGAATAGTCAAAGAGAATGAATGGTAATGTAAAAATGGTTGGCTCTGAAATGAAAGGATTGAATGTATCTTGGTGATAATTATACTTCCATGACTTGGGGTTTTGAGGAAATACCCTGCAAGCAGAGTGCTTCTGAAAGTAAAATCTTTCCATTATTGTCGGTAATGCTATTCATGTGTGTGGTAATAACACTTTATGGAACTGAGCATGAGTTTTATGGTGAATTAAAATTCTAAGCTAATTCTCTTAAAATATTTTACAAATACTTAGTTTTGTTGTTTTTCTTTTAGATAAATCGATTGTTATGAAGAAAAATAATGGCTCTCAAATTTAACTGCTCTTTCTTTCTTCCCTATAGTTGCTTTTCGATTATACGATCTAGATAAAGATGACAAGATTTCCAGGGATGAGCTGCTTCAGGTAAATAGCACAGGGCTGCTTTGAATGACTCAGTTATGACCTCCTCTGTGACTTTACACCCTCTTAGAAAGAAGAGGAGAGTTTTACACCAGTTTTCTCAAAAGAAAATCCAGGAGGAATTTAGTGGCTAATTGCTTACCTCTGGTTTAAAGCTTTAGTTATGGTAGGAGACTTTAATCTCATTTGGTAGGCTAGGCAGATCCTGTTGGAAGTGATACCTAAATATTCAACAGATACACTAAGCCGCTTAAGAACTACCTTCTGTAACTTTGAAAGGTGCTTCTAACAGTACTTCAAAGGGACAATCACTGAGGTGGGTTAGGTTGTTTGCCTGATCCTCTGCACGTCCTCTCAACAGAACAAAACTTCTTGAAATTGCAGCAATGGTAATCAAAGTTCATTGGTGCTGCATATATATGAAACTAGGCTTGACCTAGGTGTAATTACATACTACTAATCCTGGGAAGTACACATGGCAATCTGTGGTTTCTGACGTAGGACAACGATTTGCTTTTGACTGGAACTGCCCTCTTCTATCTGCACAGAGAATGCTTTACTTACTGTGGAGAGTAATGGCAGTTACCATTTTACTGTGTACTTTCAAGATTCTTGTAGGCAACTAGCTCAAACAGCAGATATTCAATCAAATGTTGGTATGTTTTGTGGGGAAAAAAATAGAAGCACTGGACAGAATGACTCATTCCTAGTTCCTAAAGCTGTCGCTTGCTTCTGCCTCTTCCTGCTGCCTACTGAAAAAGCAGGATTCTTTGTCAGTGGTGGCTGCAAAAGGAAGTTGTCTTTCTTGAAAGCCTTAATGTACAAAGGTCAATAGAAGTCTGTCTAGAAATTACTTCCATGAAAATCTTGTATAGTGTTGACAGTACACACAAGAAAAAAGCACTAAGAATACTTCTGTTCCTATGTCAATAATTATTTCTGTGTTACAGGTGTTACGGATGATGGTTGGTGTAAATATTTCAGATGAGCAGCTGGGCAGCATTGCTGACAGGACAATCCAGGAAGCTGATCAAGATGGAGATAGTGCCATCTCCTTTGCAGAATTTGTAAAGGTTCGTAAACAACATTTTCAATGACTAAATGGAACTGCTCAGTAATGAGCAAGTCGTTCAGACTTAAATGCAAATAGGAACAGAGAGCAAGTCATTCAAACAGTCGTACCTGCATTTGGGCAAAGCCTTCTGCTAGCTTTTTCTTCCCTTTATTAGATGTGGGGTTCTGTTTTTTTTTTTTTTTTTTTTTTAGTACTATCAGGATACTAATAATTAGTCCACATGTTTCTTCATACTCTTGCATAAAGCTACAGCACTAAATATACTGAAGAATTTTTACTTTTTCTTTTGCAACTGCTTCTTTCTATACAAATAGCCTGACTAGACCGTTACAACAGAGCAATTCTTCTGCTGTAATAATACTGATGGGTTTTCACTTGTGCATTTCCTTCATTAGCAACACAACTAATACCAGTATTCAAGTTCCTAGCTCTAGTCCTTTTGATAGTCAGAAATACATAATAGTTGGGAGCCATCAGATAGTCATTGGAGAAAGTTGTCCTGTAGCAGAACAATTTTGGCTACCTAATGGGATTGTATTGACAAGAGGAACTAGACTTACCTTGGAGATGGACAAAAAACAACAGAAACAAGTTGCAACATGGGAAATTGTTGTTAGCTTTAAGGAAAACTTTTTATCAAGAGGATTATCATAGCTGCTGAAGATGTAGAAATTCTTTCCTTGGAGAAATTTGAAGCTTAATCAGACAAGACCCTAATCAACCTGATTTACTTGGCCCCGCTTTAAGTAGGAGTTTAGGGGGTTGGACTAAAAAACCTCCGGAGGTCTCTTCAAATGTAGATTACTCTAATCTTGAATTCACTGAAGTCTATTGCCTGAAATGGCCTGGAGCAGAATAGTGTCTTCATGCCTCAGTGTTCATAGCGATTTAGTGAATGAACTTGCCACCCCAATTTTACAGAGATCTGCATTAATATTGCTGTGGTCTTGATTTTTGCTCTTCAGTGGCTGCTCATGCCCCTTCCTCCAGTCCATTCTCCCTCGTGTTTCCTGGCTAGGCATTCCCACACAGTCTAGTTTTGGAAATCTAAGCCTTTCTGTGCTGTTGGCTGACTGAAACTGCATTAGTTACATTTTCATTGACAGCCTTCTTTGCAGCTTTGATGGCTGAAGTTCCTTCCCTTGGGAGGACCTCAGTCCATAATGAAAAATAGCAATCTCTAGGTGAAAGACTGGCGTGCCAAACTGAAGGCATCCCATGTTCCTGCCCATTTCCTCTATGCTAGAGTAAGAAACCTTGTAGGAGAGATGTACAGTAACTTCAGTAGCTGTTTCTCAATTTTATTGCAGGTTTTGGAGAAGGTGGATGTAGAGCAGAAAATGAGCATTCGATTTCTTCACTGATGGATGGAGAACCTATTCCTTTCTACTCCGACTGTGTAATGAATAGAACTTCATTTTATCCTTAGCACCATCCCCCAGAGCATTGCTACTGGTGCATATACAATACATCTCCAACCCCTCCCTGAGTTGTTCTGCCAATGTGAACGTTCCCTGTGCATCAGGAACAAAGGGAAATGGCTGCCGTGCAACTTGGAAAAGGAGCTTTTTTTAATGTTTTCCTTCGTTTTTTTTACCCTTTCTCTTGTCTCTTTCTGCACTACTGTTTCAGTAAAAATGTCTCTCCTTATGCACTGCTGTTTAATCTACAAACTGATTCTTCTGAGCTCTGAATTTGGGAACGGAAAAGCGGAAACATGCCACAGAAGTGCCCTCTGAAATATTTCGGAGACAAGCATCTGCTCAAATACTAGGTGCAGTGATAATGATCCACTTTTGCCACATGACAGCTGCCTTTTTTTTTTTTTTACCCCTTTCCTATTTGGCTCTCTACATACAGATTTGTTTCTTCACTGCTTCTAAATCTGCCTTTACTTAAGGACTTGTCAATTTATATGGCTTTATTGTATAACTAGCACTGAATGCATGATGATAGCCTAGAGTACTTTAAAGTACTGTGAATAGACTTTATTCTTTGTGGAATTAATTCATAGGGACAGTGGGAGAATATGTGGTGGAGACAGGCTATGGTGTTCCCAAAAGGAATAGGAATTCTGCACTAAGTCACTTAAACTGTTCCAGTAGCAGATGCAGAAACTTGTTTCTTTCTTTTGAGTAGCTTTCAGGCTTGACAGCCAGTGCACCATGAAGTGTCCTCTCCAGATTTCTTTTGTCTAGGATCCCTCCTTTCATAAGGGTGGTTTTGCTTCTGAAAGTGTAAATTTGTTGACCAGTGTACATAATACAAGAAAACTAGTCATGCCAAAATCTGGATTTGTAGTTCTGTCACTGCCCCGTGGTAACAGTGTCATGAAACATGAGATCATGAAACTGATTTCATGGGGTTTTTTTCCAATTAGAGAGGCCTGGATAATCAGTATTTTTATTTTCCAGTATGAAAGTCCTGGTCTGTTAGATTTTTGTTGAGAATGGTAGCTGTATTTAGGAAAACTCTAGCATCAGAATACAATTTGGGGTAGTACATATTATCCCAAATATTTCAGAATATATTTCTATGCAAATCTCTTTGCAAGTGTAAGATGATTAATACTGTTAATAGAATGCTGATAAATTCAAGAGATCTAAATTCTTGAAGGTTTAATATTAACAGTTTTCTGTGGCTAGATTGACAAATGATCTCATCTAGTTCATCTGGAACATTCCACAGTCTGGGAGGTCCTTCCAATAAAACCAAAAAAACCCTGGGAGCTTCTTTATTGAAGAATCTGTGTTATAACTGCTTCTCTGTTATGTGCTAACATCTCTATAAATACTTACCAGTCTCAAACTACTCTCAAATGTGCATTTCCTTTTTTCTCAGTTCCTTTAATCATCACTTTTGTTAAAGAATAACATGCAAGTCTCTGAAGGATTTTTGATTTGTTTTAAATTAAGGAATTCAAAAGTAAAATGTTGCACTTCATTGTTTTGCAGAGTGCAGCACAATTCCAGAAAGAAATGTAAATTAAAAACCTCTGCCTTGTATGAGAAAGAAACACTATAGTTTTATAACCATGTCTTGTAAAATAGGAATGTAACAGTGTTAATGGATTGAAAAGTGAAAAGTGCTTGTAGGCTTTGTGATTTGCTGAAACGTAGGTGTTGCTCTTTTCAGGCTCTACAGTGGTAACCTACAGTTGTGCCTTATTGTCCCAGTGAGACTGGATATTGTATTTATCAGTCCATAAATAAACCTTCCACTGTATAAAAAAAAAAAAGTCAGACCCCAACTATTCCTGTAACTGATTATCCTTTAATGACTGGAAAAATTAAATACCACTAGAATGGTGCTAGCAGGCCTTACAGATCAGTTTTTTTTAACTGAGCTTGTTTTCAGAATATTAATAGTTCTTTATTCTGCTGGCAAAGTGGAGGAAACCAATGCAAAACATGAACTCCAGAAGAGGACACGCACTCATAACCTGCGCTATGGATCCCACAACAATATGAGTTTTACACCTCTCCACGGTTCCAAATTAGGCTTTTTGTTTGGGTTATTTTTTCCCTCCTCATAATTGTTGTAGTGTTGTTCTAATTAAAGGGTATATAATACCAATGCTGGTTTCTGACATCTGTCTTTACAATCCCCCACTTCAGATGTCAAGTATTTTTGCTAATGTGCTTGAGGTGAACACAAATGCTCTAACAGATTCACTGAAAAAAAACCTCCCACAGTCAAAGCAAAGACCAACTAACCTTCCTGCAATAAACAAAAAGACCCTCAACTATCAGAATCTAACTTTGCCGTGAGCAGAATAAATAACATGTAAGCCACTATCTGACTTAACATTCTGAAATCTGTATATTTAACATGTAACTTAAAAGGTTGTTGACAGTAAGAAGAGTTTTACAGAGCTGAGTTCTTAAATTTCTTCAAAACTAAGCTGTACAGATATAAGCAGATTTCCACAAAAGTAGTATTTTTAGCATAGTTGGTTGCTTGTAGAAATATATTCAGTCATCTTGAGAACAAAGGTCGTTTGTGAAGGTGAAAGTCTGGAAGAGGGATAAGATTAGCAGCTCAGAGGCAGAGTACTTAGTATTCCATCTTAGTCTTTTGGAAAAGCAGTATAGAGGATAAGAGTTTAAGTACAGATGAACGATTCTCCTGTCTGCTGGCAGATAGAAAGTCTATTTTCAAATCTGCAGACACGAATTTGCCATGGTGAGAATCTCTGGATGGTTGATGCAGAAATCTGTGGTTGAGAACAGTTACCAGGGTATAATGGAGACTCTGGAAAGGCAAAATAAGTTTGATGTCTCATCAATACTGAAAGGTGGCAAATGAGTTTGCTTAAATAGCTGTAGGCCCTTTAACTTGGCATCAAGTCTGGGCAAAGCAAAAGAATCCAAAACCAGGATTTGACTCAAGAAGAACAGGACTGAAAATGATGTTAGTTTCCATAACTTTACAATGGAAAATAAAAGTCTGCTTTTTGATTCTTTGAAACTACAGCTTTGGTTGTAAGTAGCGTGTGGGTATAATATTTAAGTTGGCAGAAGCATTTCTTTTAGGCTGATGGTCTGCACTAAAATGTGACACAGCAGAACAGGGTGTGTTAAATGTTTAACGCACGTGTTAAGATTTCAAGCAAAATGGCTTGTAGTAATCTGTGATGAATCACGGTGAGACGGGGGTGTTTCTCGAGGGTTTTCTGAATGGATACGTACTCCTCTTCACACTCTTCATTTACCTGTCAGCTTGAAGTGTAAAGCTACCGCTGCTAAAAAAAAAATACGCGTTTTTTTGCAGGTGACACAAACCCGGTAGAAAGACCAGAGGCCGCCCTCCGGGTCAGTCACGGTCTCTCGATGAGCGCGGCGGGTGCCGCAGGGCTGCGGGGCCGGGACCCGGGGGTTGGTGTGGCACCGCTATTCCCGCCGCGCCCCCGCCCTCTGGCGGCTGCTTTAAGTGCCCGCGGAGGTCACCGCGGGACTCACCCGCTCGCGCCGCTCCAGCCAATCCCAGGCCCGTGCCCTTCCCGGGACCAATCAGAGAGGGAAACTTTGGAGGCGGGAGGCCGGTCTCCGTGATGGACGGTGCCGCTGACCAATCACCGCCAAAGCCGGACGGCTGATGCATGGGCGCGACACCCAATAGGTTCGCGGCCGAGGGGGTGGGCCCGAGCGCCGCGAGCCCCCGCCGGGCTGCCGGGGGAAGGAGGGGAAGATGGCGGAGTGAGGGGTGGAGGAGGCGGAGGGGCCGGGCCGCCCGCGGCCCCGCGGCCTCGGCCGCGCTCAGGTGAGTGCGGCGGGAGCAGCGGTCTGCCCAGCCCGGACCCTGGCGCCGGCTTCCTGATTGGGCTGGGGCCGGGCGCCCGCGCACCCGCCTCCCCGTCCCGCCCCGTGATGGGGCTGGGCCCGGGCTCGTTCCGCGGGCCGGGCCGAGCGGTGGGAGCGGCTGCCCGCCCTCGCTGCACCGGCCTCGGGCGAGGAGCGGGACGGTGTCCGGGTGGGCGCGGACGCGGAACCGGGCCACTCCGACCCGCCCGCCGCCCTGAAAAGTCCGGGCAACTTCGGAGCTGGGGGCGAGGGCGTCCTGCAGGTCTGGCAGCAGATGGCGGGGCGAGAGAGCCTGTGCCCTGCCAGCCGTGCCCCGCAGCCCAGTTGGGAACAGCTGCAGCTGGCAGCAATGCGGGGAAGGGAAAACGAAATGTATTATCCGAAATGAGCCTTTGCATCTCCGGCTACAAACACAGCGCTGATTAGAGCTACTCCGCTGTTAGTCGTGAGGTCTGTGTGCTGGATGGATTCTGCTGATCTGAACGGTTATATCCTTTTCTGATGTCTCTAGTACTGACACAGGAGCGCACAAAGGGGATGGTGTCCGAGTCGTTTGACAAAACCAGAACGTACAAATAATCCACAGTGCAAAACAAGTTTTATGGAAAGTGGAGAGATTACAGTGGAATTTGTTTAGCGTTAGGAATTCATGTGATAATAAGGTGAAAAAGACTTAAGATATGATGAAACCCGTGAAACTATTACTAAAGCGACTATTTCTTCCTTCCAAGTTAGTGTCATGCAGGTCAGCGGCCCCCTGAATTGTTCAGAATTGTCCGTGGTATTTTGTGCTATAGGATGTACTTTGTTTAAATTAAAAAAAAAAAAGAGGTGGGGACAAAACTTCTTACTGAAAGCAAAAGAATTAGTGTCACTAGCATGAGATTTCCTATGTTCATAGTTAAAGCAGTTCTTTAAATCTCAAGTTTGTCATAGAATTGTGACTGCATTTTCAATGTGCATATCAGGTAAAGTAAAGAATTGAAGTGATTACATGAGAACAATAGCTTTAGGTCTTGTGAAGACATGGTGTGTTAGCTTGTATGACCTAATAATGAAGTAGTTGTTTGTAAGGGGTGAAATAACTCAAAAGAAATATAAGCATGTTTGTTACAATTAGTTCTGAAAGTGGTAGCTGCTTATGAGAAAAATTTCCAAAGGAACATTTTACCAATTTTCATGTGCTGCATTACTCATGTAGCAACAGTAATAGCAGCTTAAGAGCAACATAACATTAAGGCACAGTATGCTGTTACTGATGAATATTCCTACTTACAGGTGTCTGTGTATGAATTATTAAAATATGCCAGAGGATTTGCCCTTGGCATACTACATAAAAAGATAATTCTGCTTTAAATTATTGTTAAAAAATAATAACCAGTCAGCTTGCTTTTGTGTGAAGTTGTATGCTATTTCAGCAGTGAGAAATAGATTTGGATTAATGTTTATTTTTAATTGCTTTCCATACACAAGAGCTGTGAGAAGTAGTATCTTAAAAAAAAGGTTTTCTGTTACTCTGATATATGTTAAATCAGCAATATGCACTGCTTTACAATCTTGCCCACAGTGCTGAGAGTCTGCAGTGTGAAAATCTGCATAAACAGGCTCTGCACCTCACGATGGTCACCTGTCATTCAGGGGTGTCAAAAATCGTGGGCCAGCTAAGGCTAAAAAAACCTGACCTGAGTCTCTGGAGAGTCTGTAGTATCTTTTGAACACCTCCCACGTTCATTCTTAAAAACTAGAAAGGGAACAGTGTTTGAAACCAGACCTGACATGCTGGAGGTTACATGAGTGCAAGGTGCGAAGGCCTGTGCAGTCTTTGGAGGATTAAAAGAAGGAAGAGGATTTCTCTAAAATAGAATGTGAAGGAAGAGTTGTTTCTTTGCCTGAGCAGTATTCCAGGAGCACATTCCTGTAGTGTATCACAGAATTGAAAGCTCGTCTTTAAACAGTCTTCGGTATCTTTGCTGCGGTAAGAAGTGCTGTTACACCGTTGTACCAACAATGTGGCAGATATCTATTGGAAACCTTGTTAAAGAGGAAAGTGGTTTTATTTAAAAGTGCAGAGTGAAACAAATCTCTGGCAGAATGTTTGCAGTGCCTGAGACATCTCTGCAGCTGCCAAGTGCCATAGCAGGGGTGTGTAAGCTGTGTGTTCAACAGTCTGGCAGTCTGTGTTGACAAGGGGCAGCAGCTGGCAGCTCCTTACTGTCTTCTGGCCTCTTCCTAGGCTGGCAGCCGTTCTAGGCTTCAAATATACCTTTGTTTACCCTTTTGGAGATGACTTTGGTCTCTGACTCTGGATTATCAGTTTTCTTTGTCTTCAAATCTGTGTGTCTTCTGAAATTGCCGCAGGATGTGCTAGGGTCTTGATGGTCTGTTAACCTGGGTGCTGTGAAAACAAGTCCCTTTTGAGAGCCCAGTCCTTGCTCAGTGTTCCTTTTGGTTCCTCCACTCGCAGACACTCCCGTTCTTTCTCCAGTCACACCAGCCTTAGGCTTTCTATCAGAGTTGTTGCCCTTACCTCATAGATTGGATTTAGAAGCTGTTTCAAAGTTACCTAGAAAGTAGAAAGAGCATGAAGGCGTGTAATTTTTTTTGCAGGACTGAGATACTTCTATTGTATTTTGTGTTTATGATTTAAGCTTTTGTCATTGTCAACTTTCCAGGTTAAATTTGACATTTTTAAGTCATAGGAAAGACCTCAGTGAACTTGTGATCTGTAGTGCTAATTTTGCTTTCTGTGTCTCTATAGGTCTCCATCATACTGAACTTTCAAGTTTTTGTGTTTTGGTCTTTATATAAACTGATTTCTAGATCTTTTCTTCCTTACACACTTTTCAGGCTGTAGGGAAGAGAAGAGAAATCATCTTCTGTGTCCCCGTTAATTCTGCTTATCTCCTGGAGCATTTGTGTATGTGTAGGAGACAAAGGTAATATTTTGGAAAGCCAGATCTGATGGATCTGAGTTTTTGCTGAACAATGTAATTAAACCTAAGGGTACCTTAAAACAGAGTGTGAGGGGTGGAGTGAAAGTTGGTTGTATAACTGTACACTATATTTTAGTATAGTTTCCAATTCCAATGTGCTGATTATGTCAGAACACTGACTTTTTTTCCCCCTGCTGTTGCATTGGTAATAGAGTATTTTGATGTATATTAAAAGACAAATATTACAATTTTGCTGGTAAATTTATATGTGAGATATTTCTTCATCTCCTTTTGGCTTTGAAATTCCTGAAGTTAGGTGCCTGCATCCAGGAAGTTCTGT